GGCATTCGCCTCACCAGCATTGGCGTAGTCCGTGACCCTTCGGAGGGCCTCCTCGTATGTGGTCGGGGGGTGAAGGATGAAATCCTGATATAGATACCCCGCCCGGAGGGAGATGTGAAACATGTGAATGGCGGTCGCATCATCCATGGGCTCGACCTCCCCGACCGCTGCCTTCCACTTGATGAGGAAGTCGGTCAAGCTTTCCCCTTCGAGCTGCTTGGCCTTTTCGAGGTACATATAAGACTTCCTCACCACTTTGGACGTACAAACTTGATCGCCAGGGTCTCAAATTTGTCGATTGACCCCGGCTGTAGGGTTCGGAACCACTCTGCTGCCCGGCCGGTGAGGGTTGAGTAGAAGGCCCTGCACATCACGGCGTCTGAAACGCCCTTCAACATCATGTTGCTGAAAAAATCATTCACGTGAGCCTCAGGATCTGTCCGACCGTCGTAACTCTTCTCTCTCGAGACCTTTAAGTCGAGCGGGTAAGGCTGAGCCATTACCGCTGCTGTAAAAGGCGTCTGGTGGAGGGTCGATCGGTCGGCCGGGGGTGCTGTAGGATACGCACTCCTGAGCTGCGCAACTTCAGCCTGGAGGTTGTAGAGCAATCCTCGGGTTTCGTTGAGCTCGGCGTTCTGGGCGGCTTGGGCTGTATCCCGAGCGCGTCGACGTCGATGTGATCTCGACCCGCTGTACCCGGACGAAGCCTCGTGGCTAGCTTCCTGCATTTGTACGTCCTCTTGCCTGGGATTCGGGTCCTGGGGTCCCAGACGCTGGCGCATCTCTGGTCGGAGGCGATCGAAGGCTACCGCACGGGCAACCTCCTCGGGATCCTCCGCTTGAACGGCCTGAGTTGGTGCCTCCATCGCATCGGCACCCCCCGACGCCAACCGCGAATGAGCCGAGCGTCGAGCCCGGGAAGTGGACGGACGCTGCGGCTCTACCTGTGCGATCGGTGGTACTGGAGGGGCGGCGGCTGGAGCTGTATAGGCAGGCGTATATGGTGGATAACCGACTGGGGAAGGGTAGCACATCGGTTGGCCTGGCCAGTACCCGTATGGTGGAGGTGGGACCGGGTACGGGTACTGGGCGGGATACATCATCGGCTGCTGCTGGTATGGCAGACCGGGTGGTGGGTATCCCGGTTGGATGTAGTTGACCGGCTGTTGGGCGGCCGGGTAAGCATTTGAAAGGTGCGGTGGTGAAAGGTTGAGGTTGAGGTCCATCGTCTGACCCTGCTGTTGGGTAGCGTAGTGGTCGGAGGAGCTCGCTGCATCCGCCTGGTCGTCGGTGAAGTTGTTGTGTGCCCACGGATACATGATTGGTGAGAAGACCGGGTGCTCGTCGAAACGTTGGTTTCTTGCACGGGTCCCCACAGACGGCGCCAAAATGATACTGCTAATTCTACGTAAGCAATATAAACAACACAAGACCAATTAAAGCAGGTAAAGTCTTTATTGATCAAGGTAAAGTTCCTAAGCACAATCTACTTGGTTGCTCTGAGTACCGACTGAGTGCGGTCGGGATTCTCTAATAACAACCTATCGATCGTCCAAAAAGTCCTCTACACTGTAGCTACTGTGGGCATTTATAGCCGCTGTGCCGGAGACAAGATCCCAGCTGCTCGGCATGTCTTCCACGTAGCTACCACGTGCCATCCTCCTGGGTGCCCTGCCTGTCGATGTAAGGAGCCGCCACGTGTCTTTAATCAGCTCTCTCGCCGAAGGACTACCGCTCGGGGTTGACACCCTCGCTCGGGTGACTCCCGGTCGGTTCCCGATCGGGTTCTTCTTAAGGAGCCCGACCTGTTACCTGCAAAGACAAGGAGAAAGAGACAAAGACTCCTCGGTCGTGGTGAAGCTATGTCGGTCGGGATATTCCCTACCATATAGTTATGAATTTATGGATATTTAGTTCATTCATTTTGGATATTTAGTTCATTCATTGTAGATATATTTACTTCATTCATTCATTGTGGATATATAGTTATGAATTTATGGATATATAGTTATGAATTTCTGGATATATAGTTATAAATTTATGGATATTTAGTTCATTCATTGTGGATATTTAGTTCAATCATATATTGTGGATATTTAGTTCATTCATTGTTGATTTTTACTTCATTCATTCATTAATGTGGATTTTTACTTCATTCATTCATTCATTGTGGATTTTTACTTCATTCATTCACTGTGGATATATAGTTATGAAATTGTGGATATATAGTTATGAATTTCTGGATATATAGTTATGAATTTCTGGATATATAAAAATGCTATTGCCATGAATCGAACCTGATTTCTTCTTTAAGTGGGACGCGCGTTTTTTTAACCAAAATGGCGCCGTTTTGCAACCGAATGCACCTTGCAAGATGCATTCGGTTGCACAGCATAATTTGCGGATGCGGCGGGTGAAGTTTCCAGGTTGAGACCTAACATGCTGGCATTGTAGCAGGATCAGCGAAGAAACGTGCTTCTGGAATGGGCCCCACAGGCCCAACTTGGTACCCGTCGGCACGTTTCTACAATATTATAACCAGTAGTTATAAAATGTTTTTTTTTTTTTTTTTTTGGAAACAAGTAGTTATAAAATGTTAAATAATGCCCTGGGCACGAGCTTGTTGATGGCGTGTGTAAGGAGTTTAAGTATTTTTTTTGGTTTTGTGGTGTTACCAATTTTAGATAACGCGAATGTAAACTTTATTGTAAATCAAAATATTATTTCTGGTAAGTTGTTATCTTCTTATCCTCTAAAAAAAAGTCAAAAGTTAAACTTTTTTTTTTCTTGATTATCGGTTAGGTGTCAACAAAAACTATATATTAGAAATTAAATCATCTTCACTGAGTCTTAAATATATACTAAAAGTCTTATTTATCAATTATTGAGCAGCTACCGGGTTGTAAATAGATCCTCAACACTTGTTGACAAGCATTCTTTGTTACTAAGAGCATCTACATCAGAGGAGAAATGAGAGAGAATTCACTACTTTTGATTAGACCTGACAATTCGTGTATAAGGGTTCGTTAACGGGTCGACATGATAACGACACGAACACGATAAGGCTAAACACGGACACGACACGTTAAGGTTAACGGGTTCAAATTTGTAGCACGAACACGAACACGATTTGTCAACGGGTTAAACGGGTTTACACGATAGACACATTTTGTTAACAGGTTTCAGGTCGTGTCGACACGATATGACACGAAACTCGTTTAAACCCGCTAAAATTATTAATATATTTTTAAAAAAACTAAAATTTAAATTTAAGTTATATAAAAAAGAAATAAAACCTACAATTCAATCTATCAAACAAACTAAACAAAATATTCAATTTATAACACTCATAAAATGATAAAATAACATACAAAAATAATAATTAAAGAAGTCCAGGCTAGTTTTTAGAATAAAATTGAACACAATAAAAATTCAAATTTCATATTGTTGAACATCAATAATTGGTATATGATCTTGGCCTAATGTAGTAAATTCATCATTAGTTATGTTCATGATATCTTTTGTAATCTCATTCATGAAAATGGTTCTTAGCGAGTTATAAACAGGTTTGTGTAAACGGGTTGACACGATAATATTAACGGGTTAAACGGGTTCTTAATAGGTTTAACGGGTTGACCCGTTAAGACACGAAACATAACGGGTCAACCTGTTAACGACCCAGGACACATTAAGGCTAAACACTAACCCGTTATTTTCATGTCCAGTTTCGTGTCGTGTTAACGGGTCGTGTCCATAATTGCCAGGTCTACTTTTGATGTCAAAATGCCATGATGGCAGAGAGAGAATCAAGAGAGAGAAGAGGCGGGAAGCATCTGCAAATGTTGGGATATTACTCTGCCAAAAAAAAAAAAAAGAATTAATGATGGAGGAGAGAGAACCAATAGAGAAATGACATGTTTATTTATTTATTTTTTTTTTTGTAAAATCAGTTTTGATTTTTTTTCCCCTCCCCTCCCACATTATTCTCTTTTCTACTTACTCTTCAATTCTCCCCCTAATATCCCCAAGTGATTAGGATGCTCTAAGGCCTCTCAAAGCTTAAACATAGCTCTGGGATCACCAATAGTCCCTAGTCAACATGTGATCCTAAAAAATTATATTAGGAACCGGACTCCTTAAATATGGAGTCATTTTGATTCCTTATTGAAAGAGTTCGGGTCCTTAATTACTGTTCATCAACGAATGAGCATGCTAATTTCATGGAGCCTTACGGCTTCTTTTATAGAAGCCTCAAGGCTCCAATCCCCACTCTTTCCACCGATGTGGGACAAGTGTAGAAACAAAGGGGAGCCACAACGGCTCCTCTTTGTTACTTTTTTAAAAATGTTATTTTTATTATTAAATATATGTGTATACCCTTTAAGTTATTTTACATGTTAATCGCTAATCTAAACAGTTAAGTTTACCAAATATTTTTCACAAATTATTGGTTAAACCTGCAAACACAATCTGCAATCCACTAACCGCTAACACAATTTAATAGCTGATTACGAAACAAAGCCAAAATGTAATGCCTAACCTCTATTAGGAAGTTTTCAAAAAAAAAAAAAAAAAAAAACCTCTATTAGAAAGTATGGCCTAAAAGTACAAATAATAAACTAATAATTAAATAAGAAGTATTTTATACTTAAAATAACTTTGCAGCACTAGGCAAAATTTAATATCTAACCTCTATAAAAAAAAATATATGGCCTAAAATTAAAAATAATAAACTACTCCGGTAATAATTAAATAAAAAAGTATTTTATACTAAATATAACCCTGCAACACTGGCAAAATTTATTGCCTAACCTCTAAAATAAATATATATATATTTTTCATAATTGCGTCCTGCGCTCGTATTTAAAGACGTGGACTAGAATTTAAAGCACGTGTTCTTAATGCGAAGATTCGGTTTCCAGCCGACAAGACGTGAGAGTGAGCTGCCAGGAATACCATTCCACCAAGGTACTTATCCCTCGCGCGATAATTAAAACGTGCGCAAAATGGTTAACATTAAAATTTTCAAAATAAAAAGCACAAATTTTTGTGCGCAATTCAACCTGTGCAGCCTTTGAATCCAGTCTACCCATATATTCCGGACTCTTCCTCCCTCTGTATCAGATACTCTGAATAGCTTCCGGTGCACTACAGCAACAAGCTCGCCGCTTTTTTCTTAATCTTCGTTCTTCGCCGGAAAATCAAGAAAATCTTGACCATGCAGCTGCCGTTGGACGGTGGAAGGGCCGGCAGGGCGCCGGAGAAGTCGAATTTCTCGCAGACTTGCAGCCTCCTGGGTCAGTTCCTCAAAGGGAAAGGCAGCCGCAGAGATCTGGGTCTTGAAATTCGTGGCAAATTGGAGGCTGCAGGTAAATCACTACCTCCCCTTTGTTTATTTTACTGTTAAAATTATGATTTAGGGCTTTGGGTCGATGAGTTCTATTGATTTCTTGAATGCTTTTAGCAATATTGTGCTTAAATGTTTGATTAGTTTCGAGGGGAATTTTTGAATGCCCAGTTTTTGTTCTTGAAATGTAACTAAATAGATTTGGGGGTTAATGACTTAATGGAATTCATTTGTGGTTCAGGGAAATCTGATATGTCTAATGCTGCAACCACCATAGATTTCCTAGCCAACATGGAGAAATCAAGTCAGATTCCAGAACTGGACTTGAATTCCACAGATCCCCTCACTGAGCAGGATGATGCTATGGGGTCTGTTAGAACAATTGAGGAAAACGCAAATGAAGCTAGTACTAGGTTTGTCCCATGTTTTACACCTTCATTGTTTCATACAAATAATGCTCTCAGTTCATACATTTCTTGCTTGCCTTGTTCTGAGATCATGTTTTATGTTACTCTATTTACAGCAAAGAAGCACCAAGAGAGCCCAAGGCTGCTCCACTGACTATTTTCTACTCCGGCAAGATTATGGTGTTTGATGATTTCCCGGCCGACAAAGCCAGGGCAGTAATGTTGTTGGCAAGCAAAGTAAGCCCTCAGGGCGTTTTCCAGACTGCTGGTGCAGAAATCCAGCCTGTAGCGGCTAACTCAGCCAACCCCCCGCCTAGGAGGACTGCAAGTCCTGCACCATCTTCACCCCAAGTTTCTTCGCCTTCAGGATCTAATGTTTCTGGTAATTTCCCCGCTAATCGTTGAAATACTTCATAGAATGTTATGGTTAGGTAGTCAGTAATAATACTATGTTGCTTTTTTATGTCAAGAACATCAATGGATTTTGTGAAAACTTAAAATGCGTTGTTATGGTGTTGTTTGTTTCAGATCTTCCAATTGCAAGAAGATCATCCCTTCACCGATTCCTTGAGAAGAGGAAGGATAGGTAAGCGTTTTGTGCTAACACGATCTTAACCATTAACACTATTAAACATATTACCATTAATGTGCAATCCAACTATGAGCTTAGGCTTTTAGTTGAGATAGAGTACATGCTTCAATTTGGTATCAGACCCAAACCAAAGTTCCACCGCACACGTGATGGGGCGTGTTGAACATATAACCATTAATGTGCAATCCAACTATGAGCTTAGACTTTTAGTTGAGATGGAGTACATGCTTCAATTCGAGGGCATATAGATTAGTAGTGCCCCATCTATATTTGTGTGTTGTGCTAACTACTTTTTGTTGTTCAGGGCCACGGCTAGAGCGCCATACCAACTACATAATCCAGTCGCTCCATCAGCAAAGAACGAAGGGTCGTCTTCCAAGAACGAGGCTTCTTCTTCCAAGGCCGAGGATGAACTAGACCTCAACTTCAAGCTGTAATCCGTCAATTTCATAGGCCTGACTTTCGGCGTTTAAGCCCTATCGTCTTCCAAGAACGAGGCTTCACTTCATAGCCTCATCTTCCAAGGGCGACAAATCGTCTCCCAAGAACAAGGATGAATTGGATCTCAACTTGAAGTTATAGTCCATATCAGCAGCAGCTGCTTATAGATCTGACCATTTTTGTTTAATCCTTCCTCTCCTATTGCATTCAATAGTCTTCCCTGTCCCTCCCTGCAGGGCACCTAACTAGCCTCCTTTCTCTGACTTTTTTTTAGTGGATTACCCACCAACTTGTCTCAGCTGCGTTTTACACATGATAGATAGATGTAGTTGTCATCACTTATTGCTCTCACTTTGGCTCACCAAACTTGGTCAAGTCAACGAATATTCTTTATATATGTGATGCATATTTGTTTAAAATGTAATGAACACTATGAGGTGTATATTCAATTTAAGACTTTGGCCATGTTTGGTAAAATATTAGCCTATCAGTTAATTTTGGTTTATTTGATCACTATTCATTGTTTGACTTGGTTAAAAAATTAAATTAACTTTAAAATGCTAAAATTCAAAAAGCTTCTCAAAGCAGCTTTTCAATTAGTTTTTTGATAAAAGAAATTATACCAAACATCTTTTGTTATACCTTCTAATTAATTCAATCGGCTAACAACTATCAACTAATAAACATTTACCAAACAGGACCTTTATATATATAATTTATAATTTGTGATAAATAGTCATAAATGTTGCAATGAATAGTCATTTTTGGAATTTTGGGGCTTGGTTAATTTGTATTTCTTAACACTTATAAATTAAGGATAACAAATGTTAGGTATGAATATAATCTAATATAAACTTAATGTAAGTACGAGTAACCTAATCTCATAGTACATGTTCATAATTGTTTGGGTTGGCGTGGAAGGTTAATTTTGTCACATTTGTTATAAAGTGACATATTACTATATTACAAGTACAAGGCTCTTTATGATCTCTATACAATATTTCAAGTGCACATAACCTTATCTATTTTATTTGATTTTATTTATGGAAGTTTTACTTGTAGCATAAGTGTGATAGTTATATAAAAACTTTCCTCCAATTGTTGTCTCTTTATGAAGTGTTTGACTGAGATTTGACTAAATTATTTTTGTACCAGCCTCCAGGAGTTAGGAGAGGTAAATATCAGTAAAAATATGCATGAGAAAAAGAGAGGGAATTGTACATGGTCCACTCGTCAGTAGAGTTGACCGCAATTCGGTTTCACTTCCAAGCTAATTTATAGTTTGATATTTGTTGGAACCATAACCTTATGGGAAATGTTTAGTTCCAATTCCGTGAGTGATGATACGTGTTCAAACTATAGTTTGCAATTCAATTCGAAAATAGTTATTGCGTGAACGGTGTGGATCACGATTAAAAAATAACATTATTTTACGTAAAAGAATTTTCATACAATGCACTGCAATGTATATTTTTATAAATTATAATATATATTATTTTAATATATAAAGTACGTTATTATAACTCATAATGTACATTGTTCTAAGAGTTCTTTTACATGTACTCTCAAATTCTACTCCTTCACTTGTACTCGTTGATATTGCAAACAACAATATGATCTTTTCATTATGTTGGTCTCAGGAAAAATGTCTATATTAAGGATTTTGTGAGAGGGAGTATAAATTGGGAATCCATGTAATATTTTCCTTATTTTAATTCATAAAATTCAATGACGTCGTTTTGGACCGTGGTACAAACAATAATTTGTCTCAATTCGAAGCGAAATGTTGTTGGGCCGAAGGAATCCCATTTCAGTGCGGTGTATTAAATTTGTACAGGCAAAAACAGTTGTGCGGATCACGATCCAAAACGACGTCGTTTTGATGGTAAAAAAAAAATTCCTTGATTCGCTCACGTGTTAGAATACTGAACATTATGGGGTAAGATAATGTATTTTATGAGCTAGAATAATGTATTTTATGAGTTAGAATAATGTACTTTATGTGTTAGAATAATTTACTTTATGTTAGAATAATGAAATTCCCGGGATAAAATAATATATTTTATGAGTTAGAATAATGTACTTTGTGTTAGAATACTGTATTTTATGAGTTATAATAATGTATAATGTGCTTTATATGTTAGAATAATGAAATTTTTAGGGTAAGATAATTTATTTTATGAGTTAGAATAATATATTTTATGTGCTTTTAGAAAGTGGTCCACTCAATAATAATTGCTGTACAGCCCTTTTTCCCTATATATTGGGCCGGAAGGTGAATTTAATTACGTTGTTGTGTCATATTTGGGCCCAGTATGGCTTAAGTAGGCCTAATTGTTTGGGTCACGACAAGCCCATCAACGTTACCGCAATCCGGGCGTATTTGTCGTGTTTTACGTAGTAGGCTGCTATAAATATCCATTGCGACAATAATAATATCTCTCATCGTGTGCTTCTTTTTTATTTTTTATTTTTTATTTTTATTTTTGTTTCCATCTCCTTCTAGACCGTCGGTACTTACCTATATAGGAAAGTCTATCACCGGACGAATTCTCCTCCGATCAATTGATTCATCCAATCGGCGCCGGAGAAAATGCAGCACCAAAGGCTGAAGCAACAGCAACAGCAAGCCTTGATGCAACAAGCTCTTCTTCAACAACAGTCTCTTTATCATCCTGGCTTATTGGCTGCTCCTCCGGTTAGATTTTATGCCTTTTTTGTTGTTTCAATTTTATTAGCTTGATAAATATGGTGTATAATTTCTATTCGAGATTCTAGCGCTTGGATTGTAAGCTGCACAGTCGTTTACCTAATATTGTGTGTATTGAGGTTTGAAGATGCGCGCTTGAGATTGTAGAGATGATGTCTAAGCTGCTATGTTTTTGTTTTGTTTTGTGCTTATGAGGTTTGAGAATTGATTGTTTAAAATAGAATAAATTAGCTTTTGCTCCTGAAAACTTTTCCAAAAATTTTATGCTCTAATTGTGGGGGGTTCATTTTGGTTGTTTTTCTATCTTCATTAAGATAGCTCAAAAAGCATATGCTAGGCGCAGGCTTTCCTTTTTTGGCGGTGTTTCTCACAGTTATGAACCACCTCCATTATGAAAATATGAATAGGTTTTGAATGACTCAAGCTATAGGGATTGACTCCTTGAAAACACATTGAAGTTAGAGTGCTTTTTTTCTCTTTTTCCATTTGATTCGTATTCTGTACTAAGTGTTTAAAAAATAGAAAGAAAGTCTACTGATAGTTTTTATAGAATAACATTCTTCTCAATGCTTCATTTTTAAGGGAGAGTAAGAGTTGGAAGGTCACTGTATGCAATTAAACTTCTTGTCTGATGCATTTCTGCCCCTGAACCTTCAGTTTTAACAAAATTTTCTACTCTCAAGTGAACACATAAAAGAGTAATTTGACTAAAATTACACCATCCTACTTAAAGCTATGTTGCTCTTATCTTTGTCACTACCTTTTCATTTGTGTTAGCATCTTTACTTTCTTTGTGTTAGTTCTTCAACAGCTCACTATCTCTTTCCAGTTCTTTAAACCTATTTCTAAAAAGTATATTTGCATGGATTAAGTTTTCTATTTTTTTTTAAAAAAATTAATTTAATAAATGACAAGATATTTTATCTTGCAGATTGAGCCAATGCCAAGTGGAAATATGCCTCCCGGGTTTGATCCAAGCACGTGCCGCAGTGTGTGAGTGTTGGACATATTTTAGTTTTTCAATTTCTTTCTTTTCTTGTTGCATTTTTCTTTGGCTGTTGTGCATGCAACACATGAGACAGAAGTCTATAGTGATCACCTCTTTGTTCTACTGTTATCTAATTCATGTAACTCATGAATTTATAGCTTTCTATAGTGAATTCATCTGTTTAAGCAAACCAGTTAGATTCATTTTACTTTTCCTTCTGCTAGAAGAAAGGGTTTTACTTATTCCTTTATCTGATCTACCTAATTCATTCTTACTACTACTGTGACTTGAAGAGGCTCTTATGTATCTGTTTATTTTTTTTTTTTGTTTTCTTTTTTCTTTTAAAATTTCTAGTTTTGTTTATTTTCGAGAAAATGCAGGTATGTTGGCAATATTCACCAGCAGGTGACTGAACCACTTCTGCAGGAAGTTTTCTCGAGTACTGGTCCTGTTGAAGGCTGCAAACTTATACGAAAGGAAGATGTACTTTTTATATCTCAAACTTGCTTGTGTATTTGAATTCTTTTCTGCAGATGAATGGATTTCTTTTTGGCAAACTCCAAATATCTCTTTTTTTTGAACAAATTTTATCTCCATGCAGTCATCCTATGGTTTTGTTCATTACTATGACCGTGCATCTGCTACCCTTGCTATATTGTCACTTAATGGAAGGCATCTGTAAGTATAGATTAGATATATCTCTTACATGCTGGCTCTCTTTTTGTTTCTGATTTTGTTTTTGTTTGTTTGTTTGTTTGTTTGTTTTTTTTTTTTTTTTGGTGATGCTTTTTATTCTGTTAATTTCAGATTTGGACAGCCTATAAAAGTTAATTGGGCATATGCCAGTAGCCAGAGGGAGGATACCTCAAGTTTGTATTTAAGTTCTGTAATTATTAAGTATTAGACAATAATCTTTATGGAATTCTGGCTAACTGGGTGATGTTATAATTTGTAGGTCATTACAATATATTTGTGGGTGACCTTAGCCCTGAAGTTACTGATGCTATGTTATTTGCCTGCTTCTCAACTTACCCTAGCTGTTCGTAAGTGCCTACTCATTTCATTCTGCAGTAGTGCAGTTACGATTTCCTTCCATTTCAGCCAAAAGCCCCAAAGCGTGGCTGCAATCAAAATGAGCTGGCTCTCAAGTAGTGAGCTTGGGTTGTCATGTTTTACCCACCTAGGCTTATAGATTGTCACTTATATTTATTTGCTGTAGTGTACATCATTTGTTTTTTGTCTGATCTTGTTGGTTAGATATATAAATGCAACAGGTGCATACATACCAGTGAAATGAATTGCTTTTATTGCATACATACAGCGAGATGAGTTGAGTTTTGACATGTTTTGCTTTAGTGATGCAAGGGTCATGTGGGATCAGAACACTGGGCGTTCCAGAGGTTATGGATTTGTTTCTTTCAGAAATGAGCAGGTAACCTTGTTTGCAAGTTTTTCCCATGCTATGGAGTGCTGTAATTTACTGCTCTGCTTTCTCTTCAGGATGCTCAATGCGCCATTAATGATCAAACAGGTGAGGAAGATGCAAAATGTTTGTTTAGTATGATAGTGTTGTATTTTTAGTACTTGAAATGTTAGAACAGAAATTGAGTGCATATTCATACAGGATGAACTATATGGATCTATGAAATAACCTTATTGTAGAAGCTCATGTCAAATTGCACAAGTTTCTGCCCTGCATTTATGTTTGCCTTTGTTTCAGGAAAATGGCTTGGCAGCAGACAAATTCGTTGTAACTGGGCTACAAAAGGTGCTAATAACAATGATACCAAACAAAGTTCTGAAGCAAAAAGTGTTGTGGAGCTGACAAATGTCTCATCAGGTGTGCAATTATCTATGTGCTGCAAAGAGTTTTTGAGCTTAAAGGCAAATTGATTCTTTGAAAAGCGTTTCTTTCAAACATGCAATTTAAATTCCAGTGATTAGGATCTGAAATTGCCATTGTATATTAATGCCTTTTGTTATCAGTTGACTTGAGTAATCAACATGGATGTTTCTTAAACTGAAGATGCTATGTTTATTGGTTACTCTCTTGCTTTTTCAGAAGATGGTAAAGAGGCAACAAACAATGAAGCTCCTGAAAATAACCCGCAATACACCACTGTGTATGTGGGCAATCTTGCTCCTGAGGCAAGAAATTCATCTCCTTTTTCTAGCATGTGTTCTCTCTGATCTTTTCACCTTTTGTCATTTTTTTCACCCCCTCTTGTCCTTATCACTGTTCTCAAGAATATGGCATTTTATGTTCTGGAACTCTCTGGTTTCTGTTCAAGAATCCTGAAATCCGCTAAATTGTTAGCCATTGAAAAAGATGGAGCAAATTGTGTTTTTTGGTCCAAAAGTTTTAATTAAGTTTCTTTTTGGTTCTTAATGTTTCAGTAATTTCAATATCATCTTGCATTCACGCAATACCAAAATTCTTATTATCTGTTTTTCAAAATATTAATTGGAAATGCCATTGGGATCTAATTGGAACTTTTTTGTTTTTTGTTTTTTTTTGTTTTTTTTTTTGTTTTTTTTGTTTTTTCAAGAAATTGGTATAAGTGACATTTGGATCTAATTGAAACCAATGCCATACATTTAGGAATTAGGATCATATTGAAACTTAATTAAAGTTGTTGGACCAAAAGTGAAATTTATTTGAAGATGGAAATTTTGCCTGATCAAACCCTGCATGTTGTGCTGTAGCTTTCTGCCTTGTGAAAACCATTCTTTGCATAGATGTTGAAGCCAATTTTTTTAAACCACAGGTAACACAGCTTGACCTTCATCGCCATTTCCATGCCCTTGGCGCTGGGGTAATTGAGGAAGTTCGTGTCCAGCGTGATAAAAATTTTGGTTTTGTAAGATATAACACACATGCTGAGGCTGCTCTTGCTATTCAGATGGGAAATGCTCAGTCAATTCTTCGTGGAAGACAGATTAAGGTTTCTCTTCCTGATTAACAGAAAATATTTTGTTTATCAATTGTTTTTGGACAATCTTTTGTTTTATAGAATTAGCTATTTTAACTAGTCTATGCATTTCCCTTGGGAGAAAAGTGTTTCTGGAGAATACTATTTCCAGTCCCCTGTTTTTAGGATGAAAGTGGACATCTATACTGATTTTGTGGTGGAAATAATCCCCAACAACTGCCGCTTTGGAACCTAAATTGCTATTCACACTGACAAAAACTGCTTTTTTCTTTCTTGACACTGACCAAAACTGCTTTCCTTTATGTTCTTTCTTTTTACTCCATACTTTTATTTGCCCACATAGGATCTTTGTGCATTTATACTCGTTCCCGGCATGAACTGACCTACTCCCCCCGCATATACACATTGCAACTAGGGGTTTAATCACTTTCAACAAAAAGAGGACAATCTGGAAACAGATAATCAACAGGAATGAATCTGAAGGGCTCAAGGCATCTACGGCCTTGTATATTACAGTATATACAACATTATGTGCTTTATCTTTTAGGTGCCCTGTCTTAGTGTTAAAAGCTTGACTTTTGTTCCCTTCTCTTTAATAATGCATTTCAGTGCTCATGGGGTAACAAGCCAACACCACCTGGAACTGCTTCAAACCCTCTTCCTCCACCAGCTCCGGCACCCTTGCAGGGTCTGTCTGCCATTGATCTTTTGGCTTATGAGCGCCAGGTAGCATTGGCCAAGATGGGAGGCGTGCATGCCTTTGTGCAACCTCAGGGTCAACTTCCACCGAAGCAAGCATCCATGGGTATGGGCGTGGCAGGAGCAAGCCAGGCCATATATGACGCTGGTTTTCAGAACATGGCTGCTGCACAACAGCTTATGTACTATCAGTGATATTACGGTTTACAAGGAATTGGCATTCCTGTAAGCCTTCTTGAGGTTTTTTTTTTTTTTTTTTTTTTTTTTTTTTTTTTTTTAAACGTTTTAATGTTTGGAGAGTGTGGTGTCTACGATTGATATGCTTGTCATGTGTATCTATACATATTTATGTTCGAGGTCTGTTGTGTCATGTGTGGGAATATATTATTGACAGAAGCGGGTTATGCTATTACTTATCTTACGTTCACGTTATTTATGATATATTTTACAGCGGTGAAATTTGCCATGTTATGTAGTTGCATAAAATGTACAGTTCATACTTCATATAATGATGTTTCTTTCAGTGTCCAACTCTTCTAGAGGCAGCTTTGCACGGACCTGAGAATCTATAACGGGGTTCATGTATGATAAGTTTAATACACGAATACATTCCATTAGAATTTTGACAGGCCAATTCGATAGTGATATGAGATACACACCAACATAATACATGATGTATTTTTTGATATAATGGAGAACATAAATGAAACTACAAAAATCTAGACTAACAAATGTTTGCACCATTAGCGATAAGCAAGAGCCAAGAGGCGCCCTTTTAAATGTTCATCAATTACACGCAACTCCCAAGTGAGGCAATTGTAGGAAGATGCCTTTTAATCTTCACATCTATGGAGTGCTTGCTTAGTAAATCTCTATAGCCTCTAGCAAATGGGAAAACGGCGCTTAGCCACTATCCCCGCTATGTAGCTTTTGAGTTTTGAGTAGCTACCATAAAGCATTTTAGTTAAAGCTTTTCTCTCAACAAATTGCAAGACCATAATAGATTCTCCAAAGTTCTACCATAACATTCATGTATACTTCCACCTCATGATGGAGTGAATTCATATTGCCATATCGCGTAATGACACAATAATGATATGAGATACCTGTCATGCCAGGGTAGTTTCAATGGTTTTCAACGACAGAGTGAAAATTTAAACCCAACTTGAGAGTTGAGACTTAAGTCATTGGGGGACTTTGACCAATCAGTGGTAGTGAAAATTTTTTGTGCATAAAAGCGTATAGGTGGGCAACTCAAGATTGGAGTATAATTTGGTAAAATCGAAAAACTTTAGTTATAAAAGAAAATGATATGAGATCAAAGCAAACATAATATTTAAATGAGGTTAAAAATTATTATGTCTCCGTTGGACAAAGTCAACGAATAGATTTTGGGGCGAAAGCAGCTCATCATAGCGTGGCAATCGTTATGCTGATGCCAAAACGACGTCGTTTTATTAAAAAACGCGCGTCTCCCAGTTAAAAAAAATTCAGGTTCGATTCCCAGCAACATTATATTGTTCATTCATTCTGGAATTTTAGTTCATAGATTATGGAATTATAGTTCATTGATTATGGAATTATAGTTCATCGATTATGGAATTGTAGTTCATCGATTCTGAAATTTTAGTTTATAGATTATGGAATTTTAGTTCATTCATTCTGGAATTTTTAGTTCATAGATTAGATTATGGAATTATAGTTCATCGATTATGGAATTATAGTTCATCGATTATGAAATTTTAGTTCATATGTTGTTGCTAGGAATCGAACCTGATTTTTTTTTTTTAAGGGGAGACGCGCGTTTTATTAAAACGACGTCGTTTTTGCATCCGTATGCACCATGCATGGTGCATACGGATGCACCATGCATGGTGCATACGGATGCACAGCATAATTTGCCATAGCGTGGAGTGTGGGCTTAGCCATATAGATCATCACGTTACAAGTGGGCTACAAACCCAGAAAAGGCCCACTTTCCAAAAGAAAAAAAAAAACTCGTAAATAGAAGCGGACCGGCCGACGTTCGATAACTTTTTCAGTTACACTCTTTCAACATCCATAATCGAACAAATAAAAAGGAAGCTCTGAGCTCGTCTTCCATGCTGAATATCTGGGTCTTACACTGCTAGTTAATGCGGTTACTGCATTAAACCTCTTTAGGGTTCTTCCGTGCATCGAATTTCCGGATTATCTACAACACCACCGGATTTAATCCTATTTAGATCATAATCAGAAGTAGAGGAATAAAGGCAGCGGACAATGGGAATTTCGTTTAAGGTCTCCAAGACCGGTACAAGGTTTCGACCGAGAATACAAATCCACCCCGACACAGACGCCGCTGGTGACGAGGACGACGTCGTCTCCGCCATCCAAAATCAGAAGCAGAGGAATTCAGCTCTACCTCAACATGATTCGAATTCCGCATCTGCTGCTCGGATGGGCACGGTAATTGTGTTATCTATTCTCACAATTTTGCGTATTCCAGCTCATTAATTGTAAATTATTTTCTCTTTGGTGCAATTTCAGCTTATTTGATTTCATTTTGAGTAATTCGAACACTTAAATTGAATCTCTGTGCCGGGAATGAGTTCCGTATGGCTTAATTTTATGAAGTTCTTTTGATGTTAAATATAACCTAAATTTTTTCTTTCAGCTTATTTGGTTTCGTTTTCAGTAATTCGAACACTTAGATTGAATCTCTTTGCCAGGGGAATGAGTTTCGTACGGCTTAATTTCCTTATGTTCTTTTGATGTTAAATATAACCTAAAGTTTTTCTTTCTAAATGTCATTTCTTTCGAGTCTTATTCAGTCAATGATGATGTTATGATGACTCTTTTTTTGCTATCAAGAAATTAAAGGCATCACGAACGAATGTTTGATCTTTTTAGTTTTTGGTCTCAGTACCATGTCTCATCCATGGGATATCCAACGAGAGCATTAGTGTTGTTATTAATAGTGTACAAAGAGGTTTCAGATTTTATCTCACACTAATCAGCAGTGGGCAAAAAGTGTAATTATAACCAAAAGTTTGCTGCCCTATGATGTTTATTTTGTTTGTCACTTGGTCATAGAACCCAGAGAATGGGTGAAAATGTGAAATATTATTTTTGGTATATTTTGTTGACAAATTTTTATGTCATTCATGGCTTACATTATTGTATGAACCACTTTCTTCTTATCTTATTGGTTAATAGATAATGGAATGGACATAGTTTTAACTTTTAATGACATGACAAAGCTGATCTTGCAATGCGACCAGTGGATCACAGTGGAAGCATTGTATTTTGTTGATCATAGTTAAATTAATTAGATCCTTCACAGTAGTCCTTCATTGGGTGAATTGTGAGTTATGTGCTGGAAAATCTGAATCTTTTAATGCTAATAAGTGGTTAGTTTTCAAATTCTCATTGGAGAGCATGCTCCTTTGTTTTGCCTTCAACTAATGTACTACTGCTTTTCTGTATAGACTGAGGCGGCTGATCTTGACAACAACATTGCTGGAGTCTCTGGTGGGTTCACTATTCTAAAGGATTTTCAATTTGCAAATACAAACAACACTCATTCAATTTGCTATGATTACTTTTTCTTTCTTTTATTTGTCCCCTTGATGCATTGATTTTTATTCAATCCTGTGCTTCCTGTTTTTTTACTTTTGCCAGAAAATGAAGTTTCGTTCTCACTGAACCTCTATCTAGATGGATATTCTATTGGGAAACCAGCAGAGGTTTGTAATTTCTTTGTCCTGTTTGTACTGCAAAAATAAAGGAAAAAAAAAATAATCTGGTCAGGTGTTGCATACTGATAGCCAATCCATGTTTAAATTTCAGAGTGATTCTTCTGGAGATGTTCCAAAATTTTTACACCCATATGATAGAGCATCTGAAACTCTCTTCTCAGTAAGTCTACTGCCAACCCTTCTCTTTTGACTGCAAGTGATATAGGAATCTATTTTTATCTTTTCCCATCCATTACCATATATCTTACCAACCTATTTCCCTCTTCTTTTTGTGCTTCTTGAGGCAATTGAGTCCGGCCGGTTACCTGGTGATATTCTGGATGACATACCATGCAAGTACATTGATGGTGCACTTGTTTGTGAGGTGAGACTTCTAGGTCCTTACCGTCAACATTTGTTACGACTGATATACCATTAGGCAATGTAGGATCATCTACATTAAAGTAATTACATTTCCTTGTGAAGCAGGAAAGAAAGAAAGAAATGAATTTTTAACAGGCGGAATATTTGCTTTCTGTATGTAAAGAAATATGAAGCATTATATAGTGGCAGATCCTGCTTATTTAGTGCAATTGGGAATGGGATCCCTTAACTCTAGGCCAAATTGGGGATGTACAGAAAAATGATAGCCACATCACATCTTATTTATAGTTTTTATAAGACATCAGGAAACTATAGATATTTTGTCATTCATGTACAGGATGTGGATTTGGGTTACACAAAACTTCGGCTTATCCTTTTACTTTAAAAAAGAGATTATACTATTATAGGATGAAGTGCAAAATGCCAGCTATTTGGTTTCAGCTTCACCTCTTTTCCTTACTGAACTAAATATAATATAATTATGCCTTCATGTTAGTTTGATTGCTACCTCACTTTAACTAGCTGATAGCTCACTCTGCCTGCTTCCGCACTGATCATTTGACTTATAAAGTTTTTTTAAAAAAAGAGAAAGAGAAGAAGGAATCAAGTCAAAACACTAAAGCGAAAAATTTGATAATGAGATCTTAAAAGGTGGTTTGTTTTTCAGATTTGTCAATTCTGTATACAATTTGTTTCTGCAATTGCTGATATTGGGTGCTACCTATATCACAGGTCCGAGATTACAGGAAATGTTTGTCTGAAGCGGGACAAGGTTCACATCCTGTTAATCTTTCTCCTCTTATCACAAAAGTACGCCTTAAAATGTCATTGGAGAATGTAGTAAAGGATATACCTTTGATTTCGAATAGTGCTTGGACATATGGTGATCTGATGGTAAGCATAATAATCAAACAGTCTTTTCATAGAACTGAATTAGTGCACCATTGTTTGATGTTTTTCATTTTTGGCCAGGAAGTAGAATCTCGGATATTAAAAGCTCTCCAACCTGAGCTTTGCCTGGATCCAAGCCCTAAATTAGACAAGTTTTCCAACAACCCAGTTTCCTCAAAGGTAATGCTTTTGCAAAACTGTTGTTTGTCTTTGTATGGGCTTGAGGAAAGTCTTGGTTTTGGTATTTGACTAATTGACTTGGTGAATTCTCTTGCAGCTAAATTTGGCTATAAGCACAATGCGCAGGAAGAGGCTAAGGCAGACCTCAAGGTCGGGAGATGGTGGAGCCATAATACAGCAGCCTGCTCATGAAAAAGTACATCCTCAAAGTAATGGTCCCAACAATATGTCAGCAGCAAGAACTAATAGTTTTGGGTCTGATGTCTCTATTCCAGTGTCACCTTTGGTAACTAACCAGTCAAAATATCAAATAGGGGTTGGAAGTCCAAGAATTATGCAGGATCAAAGGTCAGCTGTTTTAAATGCATCAACTGCTTCTCCTGCTATGCCAGACGTGATGCTTCCATACCAGGACACGGTCAGCTCTGCTTCCTTACTTGGTAAAAGAGAGAATCAAGAAGGGCAATCTTATCCTCTTGCTAATTTAAGCAAGAGACCAAGATTTACAAATATTGGGCCTGACAGTAATCAACTGCAAAACATAGGACCACAAATAGATAGTTTTAATGGAACTGATTCACACTGGAAGAATACACTATTACAACAACAATCGATTCAGAGGGGAATTCCATATGCTAACACAGGCCTACAAAAGTTTTCACAACAAACATTTGAGGGGGGGCTGAACCAGGAAGCTGGAATGCCATTCACTGTTGGGCAACAGGTAGCAAGATATGGTTTAAAGGAAGAACCAAACGAGTTAGACAAACTGGACAAACCAGTGGTGCCCAGTAGAAGCGAAATGCAGACAGTAGACACAGAGATGAGTCACATGGATTCCCAGCAGTCAAAACTACACCAAAGATCACCACAGCAGTTCTTGAGGTCGGGTTTCCCTCAGGCACACTGGAACAATGCTAGTCAGCCACTTGAGAACAGTGCTAGAAAGGAAGATCCATTCCAGAAGAGGAAACAAGTTCAAAGTCCTCATGTTTCTGGTGGAGGGTTTCCTCAATCTCCTCTATCATCTAAATCTGGAGACTTTTCTAGTGGTTCAGTAGGACACCAATATGGCCCAGCAGTGACAAGTGGACTTGCTGTGTCCCTGAAAGAGAAGTCTGCTGTTACATCTGTTCCTCTAGCGGCAAGTGCATCATCTCTGACTTCCAGTGTGAATGACTCCATGCAGAGACAACATCAGGCTCAGATTGCAGCAGCAAAACGTAGAACCAATTCTCTTCCTAAAACTCCCGTGATAAGTGGAGTTGGTTCTCCTGCTAGTGTAAGTAATATGAGTGTCCCAATAAATGCAAACAGCCCTCCTGTTGGAAATCCACCTTCGGCTGAACAAATCATTCTTGAAAGGTTCTCCAAAATTGAGATGATAACAACAAGGTATAATTTCTATGGAACTCACCATATAAGCTCATATTCATGTTGGCAAACCAACATGACACTTGCATGCCCAACCATCTATAGTTAGGTTGTGTTATCTATGTGATGATATATATGCCAACTGCACCAACGTTTACCAGTCAATCTGCTCAATTGAATAGCCTTTTTCAAAAACCATTGAGCTTAGAGCAGTATTCACTGTGTCCCTTAGTTATTGTGCTTCAATGTTGATTCAATTAAAACAACCTAGTTAGCTCTTATGTTAGATGTTTGGAGGGCTGGATGGCTCTTGATCTAACCTTTATCCTTATGGTGATATTTACAGTCCACTAGGAGGGATTGAGGATGTGCATTCATCTGAATCATATAAAAAGATTTATCAACCAACTTTACTTTCTTTGGTTATTAGGGGGAGCATAACTTATTTGGGAAAGATAAGAATAATAAGAGCCTCTCAATCTAGCATTCTTACATTTTGTTTATCTCAAATAACTCTCTGAGTTTCAGGTATCAACTTAATTCCAAGAAGAATAAGGTGGATGAGTGCCCTGTGCGAAAACCGAATGCATATCCTACTCAACAGCTGCTTGTTCATCTTTCCGGTGACTCAAATAATGAGACCATCATTGACGAAAAGTTTAAATTGTCTAAGTCCCTTATTCAGGGTAGTGTGAATATATGCAAAAGAAGAGTCTTGACTTTTGCACAGGCCGAGCGTGTACTTCAAGGTTTGTTAATTTTGAACTGTTAGAGCTAGATTGATGCTTTTATTTTTCTAATCGTTTTGGTTGGTTTCCTTTATCTACCAGGCAATACTTTCTCAGTTGTTCAGAAATCACAAATTAAAATGATAATGTCAGAGAAGCCTAGTGATGGCACTGTAGCTATGCATATTGGGGATATAGAAGATAATGAATACATTGCTGCAGAGGATTACCTACCTACACTGCCCAATTCTGTGAGTACCAAATGCATTGCAGTCATAACTATGACATTTTCCATTGAAACTTGACTTTGCAAGTAGGGTATTGATTACCCCACTCTAGAAAACTTTTACCTTGCCCTATGCACTCCTTCACTGCCACTGCATTGCCATCCCTATTCTCAAGTGTCCAGTAGAAGTTAACCATTAATTGAGGTTGGAAGAAATTATGGAAATGATACAGCAATAGATATAAAACCTATATCCATCTTTCAGAAACTTCCTTCATTGTGGGTTAGGGTAGATACACTTAAATATTGTTTACTCTTACTTTTGATGTTGCCTTATTCATTTACTTGGATGCCTCATTTTGACTTTGAAGTGGTTTTTAGGTACAATCTCTTCATTTTCAGCATGAAAGGATGTGTAGTTTCAATCTTGGTGAGATGCCCAGTGGGCATCACAATCATAGTATATTACTATCTAGTTAGAATGTTTGATAGTAAAATGAGTTTTTGTTCTTGAAATTGCGGAATAGGAGGGTGATTATGGCTTTTGGGAGAGAGCCTTTCACTATATATTCTTTTAAACATTTAGAAGTAAGAGTTACAAATGCATGTGTGTTTTAACCTTGTTCTGACGCTTTCCACCTGATTTTCTCGTGACAGCATTTTGCAGACTTACTTGCTGCACAGTATTGTAGACTGGTATGTTCTCTGTCAAATTAAAGAGATTTTTTATCAAGTATGCCCATGTACATCCGTATGCAGTAACCTAATTTGCATATACAGATGAACCATGAAGGACTTTTTGTGGAAGATCATGTCCACCCAAAACCAGTACGTGTTAATAATCCCTCAAGCAATCAACCTAATATGCCGGGACTCTCACCAACTACTGCAGGAACCGATATACAACAATTCCCCGAAGGAGTTTCAGGTCTACCTGGTGAAAGTACTAAGGCACCTAACAGTGTTAATGCATCTTTCAACTCAACCCAGAATCTTCAAGGCACGAGATTGCTACCTCCTGGGAATACACAGGCATTACAGCAGCTTTCTCAAGGTGTATTGCCTGGGGTTTCGATGCCTTCTAGGCCACAGCAACCTGATATGCTACCACCTCAGCAACAGCAACTACAACAAAATCAACACTCTTTGATTCAACAACAACATTCACAGTTCCAAAGATCATCCCTGATGATGGCTGCAAACCAAATGTCTCATTTGAATGGTGGAAGTGGCAACCACTTGGCTAATAAAAGTTCCCCTCTCCAACTTCAGATACTACAGCAGCAACAACAACAGCAGCAACAACAACAGCAACAACAACAACAGATGCAGCCACAAATGCAAAGGAAAATGATGATGGGTCTTGGAACTGTAGGTATGGGAAACATCAGCAATAGCATGGTAGGACTTGGAGGGCTGGGCAATGCGATGGGCATGGGCATAAGGGGAGTTGGTGGCTCTGGAATTTCTGCACCAATGGGTTCTATTCCAGCAATGGGCAATTTGGCTCAGAACGCAATGAATGTGAGCCAGGCATCGAATATTAGCAATACAATCAGCCAGCATCTTCGTTCTGGTCAGATTATGGCCTCAAAGTTGAGAATGGTACAGAACAGAATGAACATGCTGGGGGGTCCACAATCAAGTATTGGTATGAGTGGAGGTAGACAAATGCATCCCAGCTCTGCTGGCCTTTCAATGTTAGGACCTGCCCTTAATCGAGCTAATATCAACCCAATGCAAAGAACGGCATTGGGTCCAATGGGTCCCCCCAAGGTGATGGCAGGGATGAACCTTTACATGAACCAACAACAGTTGCAGTTGCAACAACAGATGCAACTTCAACAGCAACAACAGATGCAGCGACAGCTGCAGCAGCCACAACAGCAACAGCCGCAGCAGCCACAACAGCAACAGCTTCAGCAGCAGCCACAACAGCAACAAGAGACAACTTCTCCTTTACAGCCTGTACTTTCACCTCCACAAGTGGGTTCACCATCAAGCATGGGAATTCCACAACAAATGAATCAACCAACCCAGCAACAACAGTCTAGCCCACAGCAAATGAGCCAAAGAACTCCCATGAGCCCACAGCTGAGTTCAGGAGCTATACATCCCATGAGTGCTGGTAATCCAGAAGCTTGCCCAGCAAGCCCTCAGCTTAGTTCTCAAACCATGGGATCTGTTGGTAGTATAACCAATTCTCCAATGGAGCTACAAGGTGTGAATAAGAGTAACTCCACAAGTAATGCATAGTTAGTTACTATACAAGTTCTTGTTGGGAGATTGGTGTTCATATGATGGTGGTGCTTTGGCAAACGTTCTAAGGCTAATAGCTTGGATGAACTAGTTCTGGTTGATAGGTTTTAGAATACCAATAAGAAAGGGACAAAATTGGAGATTTGGCATGCACTTTGGAGCCTCTGGACCTCAAGAATAACAATCATGCACATAACTGGCTTCCTCAGATGTTCAGAGTATATAGGAATTTTTTCAACCAAGGCTAGTGCTCATATTGTTCATGGTAGGCTTTAGCTAGAGATGCTCAATCCAGATTTCTGTGCTCATCTGTGGTGGTTGTATCATTATCATTTATCATAGTCATATGTTTATTAAAGTAGTCAAAACTCTAGTAGACTATGATGCTATTATAATTGAAAAGAACCTTTCTTAGGGCGTGTTTGGTTTCATGTGTTTACACACTAAGAATGAGAATCAAAATTATAGTTAGTGTTTGGTCGACAACTTTTTTAAACACAACTATGATATTTGATTACCTCTTTTAATTAAAAATCATATTCTTTAATTAAAAAAATATTATTTCAACTTATAATATGATTTTTAAGTTTGAATTAATGCTTTTAGATTTTTGTTTTGATGGTGGTGCTTTTGGATGTCATATTAGGATCGTTTTGATTTTTTTTTATTTTAATTTTATACTTTTAAAACCTTTATTCTTATTATACTTATAGGGTTATGCATAACCAAACATTAATATTGGTATCCACCTTACTACCAAACATGCAAAATACTTTCACAAAAACCTATTATCATACTTTCACAAAAACCTATTACCAAATATTTGATTCGCATTTCGTTTCTGATTCTCATGTGTGAACCAAACACATCCTTAGTTTCTTCTCCGAATCCTTTCTTATACTTGTATTTATCAGTAATATCACCGACCCTACTCGCCTCTTGTACTATATTTCGTTGTTGTAGATTGTAGGTTATGGGTGACTAATGAATATTGTTAATGGATGTGTGGTGAATGGATGTGTACAGTAATTTTTTTGGTGAATGGATGTGTACAGTAAATTTTTTCATTCAATCAGTTCAAAAAAAAATGCATTGAGGCAATACTTCTTCTCCTACAAGAAGGTTAAGGTTGGTGTCACTGCACTAGTGCAACCACTTGCAATTGTGCCCATAATAACATCTACCTTGAGCATAATATCGACATGGCTGCTTCACAATAGAAACTTCAATCATGGGATTGCTCCAGCTATTGGGCAGGGAGTTTGGTCTTGTTTGATCACTAGGATGATTTCTGTTTCCTGCATACATTGTTGGATGCACCGGAATATTCGAATTTATGTTTTCACCAGGGAATGCTCCTCCTCCTCCTCCTCCTCGTCTTGGGGCATTGTAACTTGCATATTGTGTATTGTAGGGGGCTGAAGTATTCACATTAGCATCACTCAAAGGTTGCCGCCTCTGATTCATCACATTTGCATCACTCAAAGGTTGCCTCTGATGAATCCTGTCATGAGATGATGGTGGTGGCTCATTATGATTAATAATCTTTCCCTCTATTTCAGTTAACTTGGTATCATTCCTGCACTTCTGATGTTCGTTCCCTGATTTCTCCAAGTCCATCGATGCCATATGCCTTCTAACTGGTGCTTGCTTCTGCCATTCTGCTCTCTTCACCCTGTCATAATAGAAATAATAGAATATGAGCATCAAACAAAGTTGATACTCTTCCATGCAGTTTTTGTTTCATGTAAACTCTCATTTCTAATTACCTATTCAACTTTGGCTTCATTCGCATTTCCTTTTCTGCAATTCGTGCTTCCCTATTTGTTCGGGCAACAGAACCTCTTGCATGTTTTTCTGACAACATTTTCTGCCGTTGCCCTTCGTCTTCCCATCTCTAGTCAAAGAAAAAAAGTAACATCAGCCAAGTGCGATAAAATATGCAGAGATGTAGAAAAGAGGGCTTAACTATTTGCTCAACCAACCTGTCTCATTGTTTTTAACCGATAAAGGTTTCTTCCCTTGATGAGGAGGGGATGCAGTGCAGGAAGTGGTTTCTCCCCTTTGCTCCATAGTACTTCAATCTGAATTAATCAAGAATCAAGAAATTTATTTTAATTTCACAATAAATTGAAGCCACACATTTAATTGAATAGAAGTCCCAATCCAACTTCATACAGATTTCATCTATCATATGTTACATAAAGTTGACATATAAATTAGATTGATTCCGAAGCTCACAGTAAATGTATGTTGTTGTTTTGCCATGCCATAGCTCTCTTTTACAATTCTTCCTGCAACAACCCTTGTACCGCATGAAGGAGCACTAGCGCTCCTGGAAGCAATATTGAACCTGGTAGACCATAAATACCACTGCATTAAGGATTTCTAGTACAGCACAAAACATATGCAACAAACTATATGATACCCAATATGTCAACAAGGTATTTAATTTAAACCTTTAGGCAAATAGGTAACACTTGAAACAAGTTTATCATGCAGTAAAATGCTTACATTTCATATACATTTTGTTCAAACAAAACAACATCTCCAGTGCATGCATCACCTGCATTACATAAATTCAGGAAGTTAAGCTCAGAATAGCAAATTAGAATTAAGTCTCAAACCAACATTGAAATAGCTTTTATCAAGTGATGATAGAATCAGAAGTCATCACCTGCATAAATTCAGGAAGTTAAGCTCAGAATAGCAAAAACTAGAATTAGCTCTCAAACCAACATTGAATTAGGTTTTATCAAGTGATGATAGAATCAAAAGTCTCTTTTAACTTCTTTTTCTTTTTTTTTTTTTGTCAGACCATGAGGTGTCCTGAGTAGGCCCTAACTGTAGGAGACACCTTTAAGGATCAGACTAATCCTCATTCGCACCGGGCTGGCCCAAGGGGCAAAGTGCTGGCCAGATTGGTTTTTCCATACGAAAAGGGGGTTCGAACACATGATGCTATATGAAATGAGAATACCTTTGCAGTTCAATATAAAACTAGATACAGGATACTTCTTCTCTCCACCACCATTGACAACACTGAAGCATAAAGAAAATGTTTTATGTAGTAATTTCCAAGTCCACATTAGCAAACACAGAAAATGGGAGGAAATGAAAGGGAAGTTACTCAATATGCTCCTTGATACGCTCAATAAGCGTAGCTTTGTTGCCCGTCAATCTCAATCCATGCTTTCTTAAATAGACCTTGCACTGATCAATTTTTAGCTTTTCAATCTCACCATCTGTCACCAAATGCAGAAACCGCAATGAGCTGGTAAGATTGAATTTAACACAAAAACACTTGATGGCATAGCTTACAAGGAGTTCCAACTCCTATCTATTTTGAAATGAAGAAATAATCACAACAGGAAAAAGGCCACGTTTGGCAAACCTAGAATCATGTTTTGAACACTCTCATAACTCTTCTGATCACTCCCGTCAACATCAATGGCGTCTGGTTCTTCCCCATCACTCTCATCAATAACATCGGAAACACCACGCCTATAAAAACAACAAACATTCATAATACATTAATATTTAAATATCTCGCAGAAGACGACCGAAGAACCTACAAATTTATCTCTGGAATTTCTTCAAACAGGGAAAGAAATGATACTATGACTACCTGGATTCAGTTTTCTTACTACTGATGGAGAGGCTTGAAATTTTCGATTTTGTCTCTTCAAGAATGCCGAAGGTAGGATCTTCTTGCGAGTCGTCGGAATCATAAGTGTCAGAATACGATTCAACGCAGTGAATCTTCTCAATAAATGCCATTTTTCTTTCTCTTCTTCTTCTTTCTCTCTATTCTGCGAGGGAGAAGTCGACAAAGATTGAGCTTTTAAATGGAATAATAGTATTTGACCGTTGCAAAATGTTGCCAAAATATTTAAGAAATTTCAAATACGGAGTAATAATTTCAGCCCATTTTCCGAAATTTTGGTGTAAAAGGCAATAATTAAGCTACTAACTCCACGTCACAGTATTGTTTCCTTTTTTATTTTCTTTTATTTTGATCACGGAATTGAATTAGTAATTAATTTGAATTCGAGATACAATATTATTCTCATTGTCCCGACCGATAGAGCATATGGAAAGAGGCAAATCAAAGTAACTGATTGACTTAGCATGAGCATAATCCTTACACTATTGTTGCCGAATTTCGAATATTGATCTCTTCTCCCAAATATTGTTTACTAAATTACTGAGTTAAACCCGTACAAACAACTATTCTCATTACTAGTTACGGAGTATATTACTCCAATAACAAAATATTCAGAAGTTGGTTGAACAAACTTGATAATTATAAAATTCTAAATTCGACTCTATGTGAAAATGGTCTATTGACATTTTTAATTTGAGCCGGTTAATTATATAAAAATGATAGACTACAAATTGGGGAGAAGCAGAAGTGCATCGTCGGTATATCTGTTAATTGCACCACTTGTACACATCTTTTAATACTCTGCTAAGTGCTAACCATTAGCGTCCATCTCGTTGCAGTTAGTAATGACTTATATGGCTGCATTTACTTCAATTCTCTAATTTTCTATAATCTAATCTCTGTTTCTAAATTGGAGAAATGTACAAATAAACACTGCTTTCATTTTGCCAAAAATGAAAAATTCCTCCGGTTGCAGAGATTAGTAGAGGGGACCTAAGAAAATAAAGAAATGACAAATGAAGACACATAGGTATATATACTCACTCTTGCAAGACAGGGAGAGAGATGAAGGGGAAGTTGGAAATAAAATGACAATCTAAATCACAGCATTTGTCGAATGAAAAAGACAGGTATAAACGGGAAAATGGAAAATCAAATAGCTAAAATGTGAGATGATTTCTGAAAATGTGAGATGGCTGCTACTCTGTTTACATGTCATATTATGGTATACCTTTGAGTCTTCTTTCCACAGTAAGAGGACAAATCTCTTTGTAATGATATTGTAGAGATGCAAGACTTTCTCAGCATCATATTGTAGTGATGTGCATGGCGTGAATCACAAATGAGCCTGGCTCATGACAATTGGGTATATAATCCAAGTCATGAAGGTTTAGCAAGCGAGATATTCTTAGCAATCTGTTAGACAGACTTGAGGTCGAAGGCAACACCATTTCACCAAAGCTTCTTTCTCACCCAGAAAAGGAGGAAAACAACACCAAGGACTACCGCCACAGGGGCCCATTTTCGAATTAAAGCCTGAAGCGTAAGAGAAAAAAATCAGCAAATATATGGGAGCATCATTAAATTAGAAAATGAATACTAAATTAACACTAAAGTTTAATGTTCCACAATACTCTAGAATGAAAATGAAATTGGACCATACAATTCTAATAGATCACTTGGTAATTCTTGGCTTTCGATTTTTCTTAAATCTTTCAGACTAAAACAAAATTGAAAAATGCATACACAGAGCTATATTAATATATTATGTCACATAATTTCTAGCTACTACAATTCTGGACAGCTTCTGTAATGAATAATAGTTACTAAACTACTATAAAGTGCTTGTTTATCCAAGTTTGTTTGGAGCTTATCTAAATCAAAATGTAGAAGCTGGGACAACTATTTATCAGCATATTGACAAACAACAAATAAAAATAAAGCTTCCAATAAGGAAATAGATACATCATATAGACAAATTGAATAAACTAACCTGACGATTCAAATCCCTTGCTTTATCAGCATAGACGCGAGACTCTGATGTCAAGCGGCTGGACATATGACTGACCTCTGCAAAATTTGATATAGGAACAATCTAATTATTTTTGTGGAGATAATTCCTTTCAAAGGAGAAAGAGCTCAAGGAATGGATAACTTACGGTCCAACTTTTCACCAACCCCAAGAACTTCTTGTACATTGCGTGTCATTATCTGATGAACTTCATAAAGCTCATCATTCAACTTAGAAATATTGCGTTGAGTTCTTGTGTCTTGGTACAGTTTCTTTGTCTTTTGTATGAAAGTATCTTTAAACATATCAAATAATCATACATTTAAAAAAATATAGAAACATCAGTACTTATAGAAAAGATATCAATCCTTAAAATCTCAAGGGGAATTAAGATCTCACCAAACTTAATAAAAGCGTAAGGTCTAGCAGCAGTTTCAATTTGACTACCATTCACACGCTCAAATTCGTTCTTAAGGTCTTCCAGGTATTGAAAGGCAAGTTTCTTGGGATACGAACGGTCACACATTGTTAGATAACAAACACGCCCTTCAATTACATAACTAAGAGACAAGTTAAGAAAGCACTAAATCCACATAACAAGTGTTTCACAGCATAAAGGGAAAGATCTAAACCAGCAGAAACAGTATCATGAAAATAGACAGTAGCATACACATTTAAACCACCTATGTTGGGCTTGAAGTAGTGAATCTGTATGCAACCCATATATAAGTAAACATTTATATATTACAAAATGAAATAGGTCTACATCATTGTGGTCAGTGATCCTCTCATCTGAAGGAAAAAAAATCCTATTCACCTCAACTAGAAATCAGGAATGTTTAACAAAGTAGATATCCTAACTGGAAGGAGCTATTATATGAAGACTTGTGTACTTAAAACATGACAGTAATCAGCCATTTCAACTGAAAAGAGGAAAGTGTCCTTTGAGTTCCCTCAACAGATGGCACCTGATCAAAACACAATACTTCAGAGTAATAATTTTTATGAAACTCTATAGAAAGGATACTGAAACATGTAAGGGCCAGTCTCAATAGACATTCTTGAAGGTTCATTATGGCCCGTTGCTAGGTTCTTGAATAAGCTCTTGACCTGCTGCTTGTAGAAATCTGCATCTGGTATATCACGACCGTCATCCAATCCTTCAGCTAAAGGAAGGCCATCAACAATACGGGCAATCATAGTCAACTTCACCATCTTTCTTTCAAGAGGGAAAAACTGCATAAAAGAAACGATAAAGGAGCTATGAATAGGAATTCTTCACAATCCAACACACAGTATAGATATTTCTACTTTCATAAACAATTCCTAAACATACACCAAGGAGTTATTAACAGAGCATACAAACTCAATTTTCAATCCCTGTGCAGGAAACATCACTCCCATATCTTCCAGAAAAAAATTAGCCTAATTATGTCTAGTTAGACCATGGTGGCAATGCAAAGAAGTTGAGTCCACCTTCCCACAATATTTTCTGGCTCGCCGGCCTAACCAGTGCCAACACCATTCCCCTTCTGTGAGCACCAAAAAGGACACTTAAACTACGTTTAGCTATTGAACAACAGGACATGAGTAAACAGCATTCACATGTTCCTCAATTACGCAAGTACTTACTATTCAACCAAAATAAAATGATAGCAAAATCTAACACCAAAAAACTAGCAAATGTCATGCATTTCAGCTCAGCAAAAAGGAAAACAAGGAAAGTGATCATGCAAATGAGATTTGAATCGACGGCGAATGGATAATCGCGTTTAATCATATACCTTTGTTATTTATACGAGCCTGTAAATCCGTAGATGTGTCCTACTTCTCGATCTCCTCTACGGATGGACAATTCTAGGAGTTGTAACAGCCGCTTCTGATCCTCGTCTTCCTCTGAGCTATATTTCCGACAACGATTGATATTTACGGGATCGGAATCTGTGGAATGCCGGAGGGGGTTTTGCAGGGATCGATATGATAACGGAAAATGCGTTGTAAACTTGTAATTCCAGCTATCAGTGCTTAGACAGTTGGATTCCGGATTAAGGGTAAATTAGAGATTTTCCACTTTTAAATGTTAATTCTCCTTTTTTCACCGTTAAGTCAAATCTCCTGGGATAAGTTATACTCCCTCTAAACATAGTTCAACTCACAGATAAGTAATTCAAAATAAGTCTATAAATTTTACTGATTGTTGAGCATATAACCATTAATGTGCAATTTAACTATCAGCTTAGACTTTTAGTTGTGATAGAGCACATGCTTCAATTTGGTATCAGAGCCAGGGTTCGAATCTCTACGTCATGTAACAAACTCTAACGGACCATATGGCATATTAATGATCCCTTGAAAAGAAAATCACGTCTTAAATTCGAGTTGACTGCACAGACTAACTATTCAGTCGACGACAACCACGGACCCCTCGTCCTAACCACTTTAACTACGCAAAGCGTATTATATGTTCATTTATTTGTATCAAAATAGGAACATTGTTGCCAATCCTTAGGCGGATTGTTGGATTTTGTTTCGGTTTGGTGGGTGGCCAGTCTGTTGGAGTTTGTTTTTTATAGACACTCTTTTTTGGCAGCCTAATTCAACAATTCAACTGTTCCTACCCATTTCAGGTATTGCTTAAAAACCAAAACACCATTGCTTTTGAGTACAAAGATCATCTACCACACCATTTCTGCTCAACAGAAAGTCATAATAACTCCAAGATTTGCACCATATAAGTAGTGTTGTCTCTCATCATCATTATATCAGAAGAAGCATAGTGTCTAATCTGCAGAAAAAATGTGGTTGATTGGATAGCTGGTTAAGCTGGAGAAGCAGGGCACATGCTGAAGCACCTGGATCGATTTCGACATGGGATTTTAGCATGTGCTCTCCTTCTCCACCTTAAAGGCTCATCCTTTTTGTCAGAAACCTGAGAATCCCATGCAACAATGCAGGCAAGTCTTCTTTCTGTTTTCTGCAGCTAATTAGTAATTAATAACAATTGAAGCATGTGCTCCATCTCAACTAAAAGTCTAAGCTGATAGTTAGATTGCACATTAATGGTTATATGCTCAACAATAACAAACATTACTGGCCAAGGCTAGATTTACATCCTTGTGGTTAGGAAAACGCCAAGGCTTCGGTTTCTGCCCGAATCAGACTGGCATAAACACCATCAAGCTGGGAAGCCATGAGTCTATCATGGCTTCCATATTCTGCCACTACACCTTCCTTCACAACAGCAATCATGCTGGCTTCCCGGATTGTGGAGAGGCGATGAGCCACCACGACTACTGTGGTGGCCCGATTGGAAACCTTCTTGATCGAGTCTTGTACGTGTTTCTCTGATTCCAAGTCGAGAGCACTGCTGGCTTCATCCAGTAACAGAACCATTGATTTCTTCAGTATAGCTCTTGCAATTGCGATTCGCTGTTTCTGTCCCCCGGATAACTGTACCCCATTTTCGCCAACCTCGGTTTCATAGCCTTGAGGAAGGCCAGAAATGAATTTGTGAATGTAAGCTTCCTTTGCAGCCTCTTGGGTCTCGGTCCAGGAAGCGTTAGGACACCCGAACGCTATGTTCTCTCGAATGGTTCCTGAGAATAAGACAGGCTCTTGGCTAACTAAAGCTGTTTGCTTTCTCAACCACTTGAGATTAAGCTCCCTCAAATCAACCCCTCCCAGTAGTATACTCCCTTGAATTGGATCATAAAACCTCTGAATCATCCATATCACAGTTGACTTCCCAGAACCACTTGTGCCTACTAAAGCCACCATATTTCCACCCTTGATCTTGAGGGAGAAGTTGCTTAAAACACTCACATCTGGCCTCGATGGATATGCGAATTTCACCATCTTGAACTCGACATCAACTGGCTTTACCATTTGGGCAATTCCCAGTTTTCTGCCTTTCTGTGACTCCCTGCCAATCAAAGGAGCGCGGTTTATGATTGCCAACACAGCAGGAATAGCAGTCGAGGCCATTGAAGTATCTGGCGCGAGGCCAGCTAGTTGTCCCACAGAAAACGAGCTTAGCACGAGGATCAGAAAGATCTTATACACATCTCCAAAGTTGGTGTACCCTTGTTTCACCAAGTAGGCACCGAACCAGAGAGTTAGAGTATAAGCACCATACATTGCACCTTGAGAAATCCCAAGTGCTAAGCCAAGAACCTGTGATCTCTTGACAGATTTTTCTTTTGGCTCAGATAACGCCTTCTCAAACGACTCAACTATGTGCTCCTGAGTTGAGAACGTCGCCACTGTTCTTATATTCGACACTGCACCTGCAGCAATGTTGCTAGCTCGAGCATAAGAGCTGTTATCGAGTTTAGGCCCCACGTTCATTATCAGACTGAAATAGCTAGCTCCTAGCGTGAACGGGGTGAGGGCAGCAGCCAACAAAGTTAACCTCCACTCAAGCGAAAACGAAATGCCAAGTCCCACTGCTGCTGAACTCAAGCCCATTAACAGAACTGAAAACCGGTCACCAAGGACTGATCTGAAGCTAACTGAATCGATAGAGAGCCTAGACACAAGAACACCAGTGGAATTCTCATCAAAGTCGAACCAGCCAGGTTCTTGTTTCAGTATGGATTTAAACAAGAAGTTTCTGATTCTCGACGTGAGCTTTGTACCAGCTAAACCACAGAGCCCTTGCTGGCCTATCATGGTTACTATACATCCAAAGCCAAGGCCAACCAAAATCAAGCTAAGGTACCCAACTTTTGTTTTCAATTCTGAAGTGTCCTTATCGAAATACACTTTAAGAGCTTGGCCTAGAACTAAGGGATAGATAGAGAGAATTGCACCTGCATGCATACCCATTATCATCCCCACTAACAATATGGTAAATTCTGGCCTTTGCAGGCTCCATATTTCAGAAAGCCGATAATTCTTCAACTTTGATTCCTCTTCCTTTTTGTTCCCTTCTTGAACAGATTCAAGAGATTCCTCTCTTGATGTTTCATGCACATTTTTCACTTTTGAAATATAATCCACAGATTTGTCATATGCAGAGAACTCCGAATCTTTTCTCACATCGTTTTCATTTGACAAAGGTTTTGACACTGCAACTGAAGCAAGCTTCACAAGGTCCAAATAGGCTCCAGCCTTTTCCATGAGTTGATTATGGTTACCCGATTCAACAACCGAACCATGATCCAGCACATGAATAGTGTGAGCGTTCTTAACCGTGGCTAACCTATGAGCAATGACGATGGTGGTTCTGCCCATACAAATCTTGTCGATAGCCTGCTGAAGTATGGCCTCAGATGCAGGATCTAAGGCGCTTGTTGGCTCATCTAACAGCAGGATTTTGGGGTCTTTGATCATTGCTCGAGCAAGAGCAATACGCTGCTTTTGACCTCCAGAGAGTTGAGCTCCTTTATTCCCAACCTGCAAGAAATATGACTACTTTATATGCTTCTTGTTATGGAATATATATTTGATATATAGATTAGGCAGTCTTAGGGATTTAGGTAGGTAGACATATGGAAACTTGTTTCCTATTCGTAGTCTTCTAACACCTATTTATAGGGCTTTGTATTCTCTTTTCTATATGACAGTTTGAGATAATATACGACAGCACATTCAGAAACTCTCTGTTTACTTTCGTAACATGGTATCAGAGCACAAGTAGTGAGAGATTCAGAACACAAAAATTTTCACCTGTGTATCATATCCATCTGGAAGGTTTGAGATGAAGCTGTGAGCATTTGCTGCAATGCAAGCAGCAATTGCTTCTTTCTTTTTCGCGTTTTCCTTTCCCATCATCACATTTTCTAGAATCGTCGTACCAAACAGCACAGGTTCTTGCCCAACCATACCTATCTGACTTCTTAGCCACTTGACTTGCAGTGTCCTTATATCATGGCCATCCAAACTGATAACACCTGCAAATTTTCATCTTTTTTAACCCTCAAACTTAATCAAAATGATTTCTTTTTCCAACCATACTATATAGGCTTACCCTGGGCAGGGTCATAGAACCTTTCAACTAGTGCAAATATGGTTGATTTCCCACTTCCACTAGAGCCAACTAGTGCTGAAGTTTTTGAAGCTGGAAAGACTAACTCGAGAGACTGAAGAATCTGGACCATTGGACGCGAGGGGTAGGCAAAGGAAACATATTTGAATTCGATTTTCCCTCTTATACTCGATAAGCTCAGCCCTTCTGTACTGTAGGGATCAATCTCTGGAACTCTATCTATGACTTCAAAAACTCTGCTAGCTGCTACAGTTCCCTGTGCAAACTGAGCAAAATATGACAGTGACAGTGCCAGACCCCTGGAAATTGAAAACCAACATGTTTATTACACTTAATATTATTTCAAAGTTTTTCCAAGAAAGTAAGTTTTACTACTACTTTAGACCATTATAAATTATCCATGATGATATTTGCCTATTTTTGGCTTATGCTGCAATATTTAAACAAGAAGAGTGTTTTACCTGCTTCCAACATTGACACCAAAGAAACAAGCAATGGCTGCACCTCCTGAAATCTCCTTCTTAGCCACTAGAATCGAGCCATACCAAAATGCCAGCGCCCACGTTGCATAAGTGATAAAATAAATGATTCCCAGTCCTGCACCTTTCGCGAAGCCTAACCTTGCTCCAAAATGTACTGATTTTTCAAGTGAATCGGAATACTTTGCAGCTAAATAATCCTCCGCTACAAATGAAGAAACTGTTCTAATTGAACTTATGGCTTGCTCCGCTATAGTCCCAGCCTTTCGATAAGATTCCTTTATAAAAAAAGAAATAAACAAGATTCAGAAGATGATCATGCTGCAACTAACCCAGAAATGTTGGTTTTAGATATAATGGAGACTTAACTTCACCTCTTCTTTCGCGGTTAGGCCAACATATACGGCCTTATAGACAATGCCACATAACATATTTAATGGGATCACTGCAAGCACTACCAGAGATATCTTCCATGATCTCAAAAACCCAACTGTGTAGCCACAGATGAAGGTGAATATGTGATGAACAAAATGTGCCATCTGCCAAAAACACAAGCATTAATTGCAAAGAAGGGTTCAGAATACTAACAAAACTGTCGAGGAAAAGGTCATATGGATATGTTTTACCTTTTCCCCCATTACTTCTTGGATTTGAGCAACATCACTTGAGATTCCATGCATAATATCTCCAGTGTTCATTTCTGTGTCAAAATAACCAATATCCTGTCTCAAGACTGCTCTTAGATACTTGATCCTTATCCTGTAAACTGATCTTTCCCCCACAATTCTCCAACAAGTAATCTCTGGCATGAGATAAATTATAGTTAGTGTCACTGAAAATTTTGAATTTTCTTCCAAATCAAAGTTGAAAATTTCAAGAAAAGAGTATAAATGAAGGAGAAGAAATGTCATGTTGTTACCCAAGTATGCTCCAACCACAACCACTGCTGCCAGTCCAGTCATAAACAGACATGCCTGTGCAGTATATTAAACATCAGAAATTTCTTGAACACAAAAAATTATCAATTAATTATGACTATTTTATACTAGATTGGCCAGAGAGCAAGACATCTTAGGAGTGACTTTGCTTTTTACCTTTCCTATGTCCTTCATCATTTGTTCTTTTTCTGTATCCTGGGCAATCTTATTGACAAAATCTCCAAAAAGATAAGAATACCATGGAAGAGATCCTCCATTTATTAGAGCTCCCAGACAACCTAGCATAATAAGAATCAAATCCGACCTGGTTGAGTACTTGAATAGGCTAAGCAGCCCAACTGGCTTTGGTGGATCTGCCTCTTCTTCATCAGCTTCTTCGTCGGACGATAAGCCTCCATCAACTTCAGTGTACATATCTTCCAGCCCATAGTGATGAATATTTGATTGCCTAGAATGATGATTGAAATGGCCATGATCAACACATTTCACCTCATAATCATCATCTCCACCCTTGATTCCATGCTTCCAATCATCAAAATTTCTGTGATGATGATTGTTACTTGGAATATGATCATTGGAAATTCCTGTATGGTGATGAAATGGATTGATTTCTCTGTGATAATGATCTATACTGAGTTCATCTTTGCCTTTGTCAGCTAAAGATCCAGTAGGCCATTCCTTAATAGTGTCAAGCCTCAAAACTTGTTGTGGCTTAGTATTATGTTGGCCTGCAGAAAAAGAATTCCCATTCTCACCATTACCAAAACTCTGAAGCTCAAGCCTACCGGAAGAAACAGGACCATAGCCTGAGAGAGAGTGTTCATAGTAGGGGTTTAAAAAGCTCTGGAAAACACGGGAAGTGGGAGAAAGATGAACATCATTAGCTGATTTTCTGGCGCCTTCAGTTGGGGTGGCGACTCGAGAGGCTATCCAGGGGCTCAATGCTGTGCCAAGACTGCGACTTTCGTCCCACCCTTTGCTCTGGCACTGCCAAGAAATCTCTCCTTGCCATGACCTGTCATCGTCGGCGGCGAAAGGGCTGGCCGGAGTGGGGTGGCGGGGGCTGGAAAAGTGGTGAGGGCTGGAGACGGAGAATGAGGGGGAGTGGGGTTGGGAATTCGCCGGCGTCGTATGGCGCCGTCGCCGGCGAGGAGAATGCGGCCTGCTGTAGGAGGGAGAAGAGTAGTCTATGCCGAATGGAGAATTCGCCATGGTTACCGTGCTGAGGAGGGAAGAGAAGAATATGAAAATGGAAGTTAAGCTCTGCTCTAATTGCAACTATTTTAGTCATATATTTATCGTTAATCAGCCGTACTTACACAACCTTAATAACGTTATTCTGTAGAATAATATGACATCTCAATCATGACCCAGTACCAAATCAGTTACGAAATCAATTACAAGACACATCATTTACAAACATTTTTTAATATGACACATCATTTACAAAAACATTTACAAGAGTTGAACTTTCAGGCTCATGAAATATTAAAATATTGAATGTACAATTAACAATAGTTTCAACATTTTTAGTGAGAATCCTTTAGAAATGTTTTGTGGACAATTATTTGAATTATTCTAAACAGCTCCTAAGCGTGACATTTGGTAAGCCAGCCTTCATTGTTGGGCAATTGTAAGACCTATTGATTGGAGCTATATTTTTCGGATGACTTAACATTGTGAGCCGGCGAGAGAGTGGAAATATACAACTTTTAATCAAGCCCTTGCTGCCAACAATTGGGTTTAAGATGTTCAAGTCTTCTAATAGAGACATGAGAGAAGTTTCCAATCAACCATCTTGTTTTGATTGGGACAAAAGTGTGTTGGAAAGAAGTGGTCAATGGGGAACTTTTATTAGGATTAAGCCAAGCAGAAGAGAGTGAAGAGAGATTTCAGCTTTGGGTGCAAATTTGGACAATTGGACCTCATGAGTTGAGAGATTTGGCATACAAACCTGACCCAAGAGGTCATACTCGGTATCAACAAAGTGATAAATATAGCTCGCACGGACTTAGCTCAATGGTTCAGTAGGCAGTATTTGAGAGAAAAGACCAAAGTTTAAACATCAACGGCAACAGTATGAGAATTATATCCAAAGTGGACAAATCTTTGACGACATTTGACCCTATCTGCTGAGCCATTGAATCACCGTTCGAGCCGGGGTGTAGGGCCCTTGTAAAACCAACATGATGTTGACATATCCTTCATCCAAGGATTCAATTTTGGATAGCCTAATACATACATACATACATACATACATACATGACAGGATTGACAGCATAAGAAATATGCCTTTTACTACCAAAATTGAATTAATATTCCACCAATCACAAGTGTTTTTACAACACTATACAGCACAATGTTCCAAATCAACTACTAGAAATATAACAAAAGAACAAACATGACTTCACAAAATCAAAGCGATATACAACAGGTATAGATAATATATAGACGATAGTATACTCCCTACCTCTCAACCAATTGCTATCATATCTATTACCTTTATGTGCTATTATTAAGGCAATCCCAAGAATCTGCCCGGGTTTGGAGAAAGAAATTCATCTAATCTTGGAGTCACTTCCCTTGCTACGAAAGGTTGACAATGAAAAAAATGATCTCGGAGCTGTAAAACCAATATAAATGTTAGCATGTCAATATTTAATCGATACAGAATTCCATTAAAATAAGCAGGAATATCATAAAACGACACCTTTTAGTGAGCTCCCGGATAAATGATCCTCTGTCAGCTTGAAGTTAGCTGGAGGTGCTGGAATAGAACTCTGCAAGGATTGAACTGCGAGAAGAAAATATATAAACAAATTAAAACCAATAATAAGAAATAAAAGATATTCTACTTGACCTGAAGAACTCATTTTCACAATTTAGCCTAAGAAAAAAATTATATGTAAAACACATTCATTACCTTGTCCACTGAAGAACTCATTTTCACTGAAATTATCATCAGAAGGATGCCCTAGAGGAAAGCCCATTCTTGACTTCCTCAAATCTTCTGATGACTGATTGGAAGGATCGCGTCCATCTTCTGTATCATCATCACCTTCAGAAGTAGTTGCAGAAATCCTGTCAACGAAGCTTTCCATCCCACGATTTTTCCTTCCAAACTTTAGTAATCTCCGAAACCCTCGGGTAACATCCTTGCGGGACTGATTTTGGGAAGAATTGACAACCAGCATGGGTTTCTGAGCAGCTCCCCATTTCTTCCTCATTCTAGCAGCATCAACTTCTGTTTGGCTTAATGAATGAGAGTTCCAGGAAGTAGGGCTTCCCATTGAGGAGTCCACAGAGGCATCAACATCAGGCATCTCATGAGGATAAGAAAACGGGTGATGAGAGCGAGAGTTCCAGGACACAGGACTTTCTGCTGGTGAATTTTCCATATGTTCAGCAGACTCTAGTTCAGATGGAACAATAGCAGGCAATTCAGCTGCCAAAGAAGGGTCAATATGAGCAAATGATCTCACAAGATCACCATTTTCTGACCCAAAATCTGTTGATTCCTCCGATTCATGACTCAGTCTAGAATCCCCAATTTCTACGTTAGAGTTATGCTCAGTGATCATGTTCTCAAACTCTTCATCTTCGACTGCATTCATTGGGTCCTCCGATTCAAAGATTGCATCTTCATATTCTTCATCACTGTTCATGGTCTCAGGTGCCCTAGAAACTTTCTGCTTTGAAACATCAACTCTAGAACTAAAATCTGTACTCTTATTCCTCTTGTGGAAAGGTTTTGAGTCCACCTTCTTGGTATGTTTATTCTGGATCTCTTCATGAACTTTTAGTGGTGTCAAAACATCATCAGAATTCAAAACAGTTGTCTCTCTGAACTCCCCCACATTCACAGTGCTTTTTCTCAAAGACTGTGGTCGTCGAGATTTATCTTCCTTTATGGATATCTCCTCTCTAGTGCTTTTGCTATGAGAATTGCTTCTAGATTGTAAACGTGTTGTTTTACCAGCTGCAGATGAAGGCTTTGCATTCTCTTTTCTCATATCTGAGAAGTTTGGGACAGACTGTGTGAGAGGATTTTCAGAGTGAAATCTTCTCCTGCCTAGACTGCTATTAGAAGCTTTTACAGCCGACCTTGGAACAGGTACTGCAGAGGTGCGAGGAGTGGACGAAGATGAGCTTTTAGAAGGTAAAAGCTTCTTAACTTGAGCAGTCCTAGAAACATCATCTTCAAAAGATGCATCCCGTGTCACATTGAAGTTACTTCCTTCCACATACTGCTTCCATTCAGGAAATTCTGTTGTTATACCTTCCTTGTCACTTCGCTCAAAATCTAAATGTTGCTGTCAAAGGGAACTATTTTATGGTTGGTTAAACATAGTAAGTAACACAAAATAAACCAATTAAATACACCAATAATAACAATAATAAATAAAAGTGCAAAATCAGGATGGTACCTTCTCTCTCTTCATTAATGACCTGCTATTGTATAACCTGAGTCTCTCTGTGCGTCTGCGAGTACTGGAAATTGAATCATCTTTATCTGCAGATCCTGAAAATTTAGCTTTCATCTCGGTTCTACTCTTTTCAAGCCTGTCCTGCATAGCCTTCAGCCTGGCTTCCTTCTCAGCTCCCCTGGAATTCCATTCTTCCCTTAATTTTGCATCCCTTATTTGCATATACCTCTTGTAGAATTTTCCTCGAGAACTTTCTGATAAACTAAACTCAGAGAAATTCTCATTTAGAGCATCAATATGACCATGATTGTCAGCAATTCTCATCATGGGAGTAGTCTCGGATTTGATCATGTCACTCGAACTTCCAGCAGGTTCAGGGAACAAACTTGCTTGCGGCTGGTTTTGTATCTCTACAGGCCTATTTCTCCGAGAAGGATTCAACTGATCTCCAGGAACGCGTTGTTTATGCTCAGCGAAGAGTTTCTCAAGTTCATTTGCTTTCATCTTCAACTCATCATTGAGTTCCTGGTTCCCTTTTGACTGGCGAGACCTCTGAGCCAGCTCTGCTGGGGGTGTTGAAAATGAACCAAAGCCCTCCTGAGCCTCCCTTACCCTTTTGACAGAGAAAACCGTTTCCTTATTCTCAGAAACAGAAGTAGCCTGTTTCATGAGATCTTGTGGCCTTTTAATCACTTCCGCACCTACTGCTTGATTCTTAAACCTCATTAAACTACCATCCACTTTCTCAGATGAGGCAGCCACCTCGTTCTTCTTGATTCCCTGAATTGAAGAATCACCTTCAATTCCTTTCTTGTGAGGAGCCCAAGTATCTTTACCTCTTGCTACAGAACCACTTTCTGACCACCCATAATTCCCGCTAGTCCTTTGAGTAGCCTTAGACCCAAACTGATCACCTAAATTATCAGATGACCCGAACTGCTCTTGCAAAGAGTTGTCATCCTTCAGTGAAGCAGTCTGCGTCTGATGAACTGTCCTCGCTTTAGTCCCAATAGGTTCATCACTGCTCTGAGTAGTCTTGAACTTTGCCCAGGTAGCCAAAGAAGCTTTATTGGTTTTATCCCAAGACCCTTCTGATTCTGTTTTTTCTTTCAAACTGTTATCCTCTGACTGGGTTGCAATTAAATTAGGCCAAGTCTGACCCTTCAAACCATCAGTTTCAACGGAGCTGGGCAACTTTGAATTAGTGGATTTAGAATTGTTAGAAAGGGTAAACGGATCTGACCCAACTGCCTCTTCCTTAACTCGAGGTGGGACACTCACGAACTCCGGCTTACTTGAACTTGATGCTGTATCAGTGAAACCTGATCGTGAAACCTGGCTTGATGGAGTGCATAGAGGAGTGTCACCATCCCTCTTTTCGAAACTCAAATCAATGCTCATGTCGCTTGCACCACTCCATCTCCTTAACACCGCCGGGGCCGCCGCGGAGACATCGGACGACAGTCTCCGGATCTCAGGTTTTGCGGCGGCTGCCTTGGCCCCACTCCCCACATTCTCCTTCTGCTTGCTCTCGAACATGTTGATGCGGTCCTGAACGCTGAGCCGCCTCATGGGCTGACTCGCCGGAGTTGGCTCGGACTGTGCACTATTCTCCTCCGGGTCGACGCTGGACTCTCTGCTTCGTCGCAGAGAGAGAGCGTCGGATGAAGATGAAGATCTAGGCTGCTGCGGCTGCTGAGAAGTTGAAGTGTTGGATTGGTCCGGTTGGCGAGGACGTTGTTGTTGAGTGGAGTTGGAATCTCGGCGGCTGGGGTGGGACCCGGCGGTTAGTTGGTTTGGTGGCGTAATCGGTTCGTCGTCGATGGACATGTCTGAACCGTATGAGGTTCGTACCACCAGGTCGTCCGCTCCCGCTTGCCATTGCCTCATTATCTCCGGCCGTCTCTCGCACGACGCTATAAACTTTGTGCAAGCTTCGCTGAGAAAATATTACGCATCAAAAAATAAAATAAAAAATTTATCACGTAATGTAATCACTCCTCCTTGAAAAGAAATGATATTACTGCAGTTACATTTCTTTTTAAAAAATAATAATAATTGTTTTGTCTTTTTATACGTTTATTTCCGATAGGGGCACTTTTGTCTCTTCTTAGCATTTTAAAAGTGTCCTAAAACTAGAAAGTGAGCCAGACAAACAAGGTACATGGAAAGCCCAGTTTATTTGTCGGTTGCTTTGAAGTTTGAACTCCTGGCCCTCACCATCTGTGTTATGACGCAAATGCCCTTGCTAATTTTACATAAGCCAATATTCTGCCGTGAGTAAAAAAAAGTTAATGCCATATGGTCCTACGAGTATACGATTTTGCCACATTTAGTCCTAAATTTTCAAATTGACCACACCTGATCCTTTAATTTTTAAATTATTACCATCAGTGGTCCAAGTTAATCACACATGATCCTTTAACTATCAAAATTTAACCAGTCGTTGGTAACACTTTGAAAATCAAAAGACAACAAGTGGTCAATTTGAAAGTTTAAGACTAAACGTGACAAAAACAATTACTCGGAAGAGCTCATATGGTATTAACTCATATAAAAAAATAAAAATGTCCCACTATGCCAGTTGATGGCTGACTGGGGTGACTGCCTCACTGTAACAAGACCTTTTTATTGCATCGTCACCACCCACGGCCATAGAAAATAAATATTGGATACATGCCATTAATAAGGGAACTGAGACAGACAAATAACGGCTGGCAAGTGCTTCAGTTCTTCATTTACTTTCCAGTTAGAGCGCTTGGAAGATACAATTTCATCACAAATTCACAAACACACCACAAGTTTGTGCATGGATGGGGAAAGTGGGGGAGGGAAGAGTTATGAGTTCTTACTTTAATCGGCCTGCACCAAACTGATCTGCAAACATTTTAAGCTCTGAAACTGTGTCTAGGTTGAAACCGGCAGAGGCTGCACGAGAGCAAGCTGTTACTAAGTCTTGTTGAACTGCAGTAAGCCGAACATCGATGGCTCGCAGTAGCTCCTTCCTGTGTAAATACATATTAGTAAATGCCATGTACAAATGACAGAATCATTCTTTTGGACATGAAGGTGAGAATGTGCATTTGGCTTTTTTTAACATCAGAAAGGATGTGTGCACTAATTTAAATTCTTATTCAACTAAGGCACTAGCTCATAAGGTTACTGCATTGATAGGTTGAAAGGTTGTCATCCAGTCAGTAAGTTAAATATTTATGCATTGTGTAGAAAATTAGCTAAGATTATTAACCTTTGTAAACTTTCTTCCAAAAATCTGCATGTTATACCCTTCTTCAAAGTGTTTAGGCATTGTGGGAAAAAATAGCTAATAATATTAATCTTTGTAAATTTTCTTCCAAAAATAGGAATGTTTTACTCCTCTTCAAAATTGTCATTTTAGCATGTCCTTGTAGTACTCTTCAGTATTATTTCTTTTGCTTTTGTTTTGTTTTATTTTTCTTATATTACTTGTCAAAATAAATGAATAAAAGCACAAGAAACACACACACACACACATATAGATAGAGAGAGGAGTCATATACTTTGTTGCATCAGCTGCGGCAGTGACTCCAGACCCACTCTCACCTGGAACAATTTTAGAACCAGAAATACTGTCAGTTAACTTGCAACAAAAAGTAAGAGCCGGTTGCACCTAAATGTTCTTTTTTAAATGTACACTCATCTTACAGATCATTGCCTTCAAAGATTACTTTTAGACACTCATGGTCAGATTAAAGATAAGCCAAAAGGTGAAATTGTGAACTAACCTTCCAATTTAAGTCGAGTTGCAAATACTACATTACTACCCAAAAATGCCAGTCACACTGAACATTTGTATCCTCTAAATTTGATATGTGTCCAATAATTTTAAATATACATTTGAAAATAGACCTAAACCATCCAATATCCACCAGCAATTGTATTTGATGCGCATCTCAAAACGAAGCAAGGTCATTTGTTGTCACTTGAGGGTTCTAATGATCAAAATACTCTCCTAGGAGTTTATTTACTGTGTCATAATAATCCTCAGTTAGGTTATGCTCATCACTTAGTTCTTACATTACTGAAACTTCTCCTCTCTCGATAAGTGTTAGTATGTTATGTAGCATTACAAAGCTGATGTGGCGTAAAGGTATTACTTTGATACATAAAGAGCATTTTTATTTCTGTGGCATTCCAATCAATTCTAGAGGTTCATCTCTCCTTTTTACTCCCAAAGGGGTGTGCATTTGATCGATTAAATCAAAATAACCAAAATACCATACAAAACATGTTCAAGATCAATTATTTCTTAATTTATAACAAAACTAAGTAATTTGAAATATGATTACCTTTTTTGAATAAACATATGAATATGAGTGGAAATAAAATGATGGTAATGGTAGTGATATAGGTATACTAACAAACCGTGTTTCCAATATATAAAATGTTAAAGAACTACACCTTTTCTAGATTTTCAATTCATTATATTCAGACTCTAACCATAATCAGTGAGAGGAGGCAACAAAATAAATTGTATATGCAGATATCTAGGAGAAACATACCCGAACCAGAAAGATCATCACTCATTCCCTGATTACAAAAGGAAAATAAACAGTCAAACTCAATGCAAGCTATTAATACAACTTGAATATATGTTTACACTTTATAGGTGATAGATTATGCTACCTGTGAATATATTTTCCTAGCCGATTCAAGTTGAGACATTTCAACATCGAAGTTATTGACAAGCTCCAAAACCTCTGGTGTACTAACAAACCGTACAAACCTGGAAAAACAAATGCCAATTACAAGAATCTTCATCTCATACCTCTTTCCTAGGCACTTCACAAGAGTCGCAGTGTCCTTACCTTTCAAGTGTCCCCTTCCTGAACCACAAGTGAGCATCTTTACATCCTCCAGCATCAAGCTTAATAGACTGTGCTCCTGAGGCAACTTGTTCTGCAACTTTTAGATGTGTCACAAATGGCTTCAATAATCCTGAAGCCAGTTTCTCAGTCTTTCCATCTGTACTAACAAACAATTCACATCTGCAAATAACCAACAAGTATAGCTTTCATGTGAATTCCCACATGGATGCATCTAAAAGATATACTAAAAATGAGGGAAAGTCCTTACCGTGTGCGCTTCGGTGATAGTTGGAATAATGCATAATCAAGAGGAGTGCCAGGTTCCATTTCCCTCTCCCTTGGCTACCAAGGCAAACACAGTAATTCCTTATTTCCTTAATAGCTTCTTTACACAATCCTCTAACCTATGAATTTTAGAAATCATTAATCTTAAACCAGAACTGCTTTTGGAATCTATGCACTTGACAAATTAATTGAATAAAGCATGAAAAAAAAAATATTAATTAGCTGTATAGCTAAAAGTGAAAGTAACTTCAAACTTAATAAGCATACTGAAAAAGGTTAACATTGGCCCTATAATGGCCGTGAAAGGGGAACAAGTCCTGCAGACCGGTATGGCAGATCCCAATAACTATTCAACAGTTCAAAACAGAATGCACATAGACTAAAGAATTCCAGAGGACTCAAATTCAACTCCGCACAGCTCAGAATCGAAATTCATTCAGATCTGATCATCAAAAGCCAGCATTCAAACACCACATCGAACACACAACAGTGCTATATAAACAAACACTCAAGCATGCAATGCCAAAGAGCAGAGATAAACTAGATTTGCTAAAACAATGAGCTTAAGCGGAGCTCAAACTGCAGCCGAACACAATCAATTGATCAAACATGCAATTCACAGGAAAACTCAACACCAATGCCAAGCAATGAATTAAGTTTCAGCAACTCAAAACCCTAGCAAGCCCAGACAGCAACAAAAACAACAATTACATTGTCATCAAAGCAAAAACGATCGCGGAAATCCAAACTGACCTTGTGAATATCAATGCAGAGATCTCCACTCCCTCGGCTGGATCGTCAGATTCCCGGTCATATCCGAACCCGCATTTCGAGTTTCTTCGGCTACCTACAAGTCATTAGATTAACAGAAAACATCTCAATTTTTTTAAAGAGGAGAGCGTTTGGGTTTTTTTCAGTTTTAAGTAAACCCTACACTCATGCCTGTCCTCAATGGTTTTTGCTTTACTCCTTTCTCAAATGCTTTTCTCTCTCTCTCTCTCTCTCTACATATACAGAAGTAGATAGAGGGTGTGGATACAGAAAGAGGTAGAGAGAGGAAGTGTAGAATGCTTCTGTTGAGTTTAACACAAATAATTTTGATAATTTACGTTTTCAAAAAAAAAAAAAACAAATAATTTTGATAATCTGCAACCTTAACTACAGTGAAAAGACAAAAGAGATGTACCTTTTACTTTGAGTAATAATAGTACACTGTTGAGTGCTTCTGTTGAGTTTAACACAAACTCCGCTCTTATATAGCACAACAAATCACATTCAAAAGATAAATTGCAACAACTTTAATTAAAAAGGTGTTCACAATAATAAAAAATTAACATAATAAATCTAATGAACGTTATATAATTTGATTTGATTTATTTAATGTTTTACTCTCAACTAACGTAATATAATCTGATTGGTTGAGAACTTAACAAATTTCTTAAATTATAATTTTTAAATTAGTATTTTGGCTCCATTTCTTTTTGTGCTTTTACCTTAGTTTATGGAAAAAGGTGTTGACAATAATAAGAAATTAATGTAATAAATATAATGAACGTTATATAATTTGATTTATTTAAATTTTAACTCTCAATTAACGTCTAATTGGTTGAAAATATACCAAATTTCTTAAATTATAAATTTTTAAATTTAGTACTTTGGCTTCATTTCTTTTTGTGCTTTACCTTAATTTATGGAAAAAGGTGTTGACAATAATGAGAAATTAATGTAATAAAAAACAATGAACGTTATATAATATGATTTATTTAAATTTTTACTCTCGATTAACATACTATAACCTAATTTGTTGATAACTTAACAAATTTCCTAAATCATAAATTTTCAAATTTATAGAACTAATGATGTCTTTAGCCCGAATCTATTGGGAATTGATTATCGCAATTAACAATAATTTATATATTTTTTACTTATATTGTTTTTCTTTCTCATAATTTTTTACTCCTTTTATTCTCCAATTTAAAAATAATTAAGTCAAAGCAAAAAATAGTAATAATTTTGATCAGTACACGACTATATGATGACTAAAAATGCACAACATTATAGTCATGCAAGTAATCTCTTAACAAAAGGGTGTTTATTATTTGTATATCTTATATTTATAGTCTAATTGACTTTTTTTTATAATGTTGATAACATAAATTAAATTGGGGTAATAGTTTAGAGATGCACCGTATTGTGAGATATATAATATGGAGTATGATTTTTTATATCACACTGTGAGTACAAGAATCCTATGAATTTGGTGAATTTTGGGTGATTAAACATTTCATATCAATCTATAGTGCTAACGTTAGTACAAGTAGCTAGTTGTGTAGAGTATGAGATGTCAAAGTTATACAAGAGATGTTATACTTATATATACTTCAATCAACTTGTGCATTACACTTGGTGGGTGCAAATAGTTAGTCAAGTAACATTTATGACTAGTTAGACAACACAATATGCTAGATTAATAGCGTGACAAGAGTATGTACGTATGCTACTAAGTGTTAGTAATTAAGCATAATAGTTAGCTTTTCAAACAATCATATCCTTGGTTGGTTGGTTGTTTACTTAATAATATCGTTTTTAAATTTTACTATTCGAATTATTGGATAAACAGTTTGCTCTATAACTCGCATTATGTGTGAATGGCAAGTATATTTATGTTTTATACATAGATAATCGAAATATTACATAATGTTATAATGCAATTATCACATTTCCAACAAGAGCAACAATAGATTCTACTCTTAAAATTACATATTGTTGCAACACTATTTCATATATTTTTCCCTTAATTGTTTTGTTTTTTATTAAGTGATTTTCACCTAAGCATATATATATATATATATATATATATATATATATATATATATATATATATATATATATATATATATATATATATATATATATATATATATATATAGCCAATACCCCCAACAAATTAAGAAATAAATGAATATATAGCCAATACCCCCAACAAATTAAGAAATAAATGAATACAAAGACTTTAATTTAGTAATATATATATATATATATATATATATATATATATATATATATATATATATATATAGCCAATACCCCCAACAAATTAAGAAATAAATGAATACAAAGACTTTAATTTAGTAATATATATATATATATATATATATATATATATATATATATATATGGAATTATAAATATAATAAAAAAAATGTGTTACATTTCCAAAATAGAATAATTCATATTTCATACATTAAAAGTCAAAGTATAGATAGTGGGTTGATTTGAAAGTTTCATAGAAACACCTAAGAAATTTGATTATTTTCTACGTATTCACATTCAAATAAACTTGTTGTGCAAATAACATATTGTTTTAATATGTCCGGATGAGATAATTGAGTAAATAAAATCATATTTCTACATTAAAATATTAAGAATAAAATTTTTATCAATATTATATCGATCTAACAAATCACATGTGATTTATTTATTATGTGTACTTTGTAATCAGATTCATTCATTGTACACCTTCCGTCGGTAATACGGAGTAATTATAAGGTTTTGTTTATCGCTTAAAAAATGTATTTAGTAGTCGGCAGCGGGAAACACATGTACGGCGTTGATTTATAGTGTGAAGACGCATGAAGGGCGTCAAGCTGTGTGGTGGCAGAAAACGCAGAAGAGTTGTTGGTAGTTGGAGGAGCGAAACTGGAAACCGGATATTCCAACTTGCTTTCTTTATTTAATGAAGCAAAATATGTTGGGCTATACGTACATACGATGATGTGTTTTCTACTGTGACCCTCGTTGAATTTTTGCAGTTCGTATCACGTACGCAATGCAACAAAATAGGCTGGCGCCCAAAATATGGAGATGCGGGGGATCGAACCCCGTGCCTCTCGCATGCAAAGCGAGCGCTCTACCATTTGAGCTACATCCCCAGTTGTTTGATTGTTTGGTTAAATTTTAAAGATTGTGTTCTATTATCACTGTGGACAGTTGGGCCCTTTTTGGTTTATGGTATATTTGGGCTATATTGAGATTCACAAATATTCAATATGCAATCCCTGACATCTCCCCCTCACAACAAAGACTGACACCTCTTTTTCGTGCGTGTGGGCCAGAAAGTCATAATGGGCTTGTGGAGTTGAACGCCTTTACCAAAAGGGCGGTTCTTGAATAGTTATGTGATTATGTCATGTACCCGGTCCACCTTGCAATGTGGATTCGAGTCAAAATACACAATTTATATACTGAATATTCACAAATTAAATTATAAACATTCAGTATGTAAATTAATTGTGAACATTTAATATATTTAGTATATAAATTGTGTATTTTTATATCAGGGTCCACATAATAATTTGCCAAATTGTATGATGGACCAGGATCCATAATATAACAATTGTCAAGTTTCGGTGAAGGTTTTGTAAGAGATAAGATATGTTTTTTAACAATTGATAGATTCTTTAACAGCATGCTTGGTTCGCGAAGTAGGTATGAAATGGAGTAGTATTCTTAAAAATATGTCTATTCCTTTGTTTTGGTAATGATTTTTATTCTCAAGAACAATGTTATTGGAAATGAGTTATTCTCCTTGCAAGGGGCATGACTATTACTAGACTCCCCTTGTATTAATATATTTCTAAGTTAGAAAAAGCATGACATATATACTCCTAAAATTATCATTTTTTAAATATATTTTATCTTTAATTTATAAAACGATTGCAATTACTATTCAAAAGTGCACTTTAAGTGAAATTCGCATTGTGACATTATCGACATAGGACATTGTAATCACCACTTACCATGTTAATTGTCTAATCGGCTGAGCTCGATTGGCCCTTCATATATCTTATCCACTTTATTTTCCAGTGTTACCTAGATGACTACAAAATGTGACACACTTGGTTTTATATCTCAACATGGTGGGAGACTACAAGATGAATGAGAAAGTGGAGGGAAAAAAAAACTTGATCTTCTTTACTTTATATGTCAAGTTGTAGTGCTGTAGTGCATACTAATTAAGAAGAGGAATGACTATTATTAACTATTTTTAGACAATCCATCATCACATAAAATTGTCCACTTTCATCACCATTCTCATCTTCCATATTTACAACCCATACAATTATAAGTATATTGAATGGCTATCATTAGTTATTGCTAAAAAAAAAAAAAGGTATTCTCTAATTATTATTCCATCTGTCTCATTTTATTTGTCCTACTTACTATTTATTGGGTCAAACTAACTATTTGTTCTTTGTTTATTTTCTTTAGTATTTTTACTTATTTTTAAATTTGATTTTTTTTGTGGTTAATAGTACTTTTAGTGTAATTTTTAAATATATAAATTTGGTATACAAATATTAAATTTAATATAATAAAAAATTAGATTAAAAATAATTTCAGTCAAGCTCGTTAACCGAATCAAGACACATAAAATGAAACAGATGTAATATATATTTATATGTGAGTGATTTACATATGTAGTTATATGTAGTTTGAAAAGTATATTTGATTTAAAAAAAAAAAAAAAAAAAAAAAAAAAAAAAGTTGCACAAGTAGCAGCCTATAATGGGCCCCACCTTTAGTAGCGATGAAGCTTGGGCAACTTGCATGGGGATTGGTTTTCAACTTGGGGAAGTAATGAAAACCAAAAGCTGAGAATGATTTGGACGGGCCGTTTGGCGGGCCCGTACAAGGATATATTTGTCCTACGTCAGCCATTCCAAAGGTGGATGATATGATTGGTTCGTCTTGGGGTTTGGGTTTGGTCCGGTCGGGCCTTGATTTGTACTATCAAAGTGCAGTGATGTCCCACGCCGGGTCAGAACCCACGTGTTGTGGGGCCCACCCCAAGGCCCGCACCACTCATGCCGTCCGGCGTCTACCGCTCTTGACATGATAGAAATTCGGTGCAAGTTGTTTGACTCCTTCCCTAATTTGTCTCAATTTTATTATTACTTTTTAATCCTCAAGTTTTCATGTTATATATATGTGGCTTAATATTTAGCAAAATTATATATTTACACTTTAGAGTTTTAATCAAATCTAAGACAGAATTGGTCACGAGTACTTAAAAATACGTGAGACAAATTTAGAAAAACCATTTGAGTTGGGTAATTTTGATTAAGTCTCTTAATCATCATCAAACTTAAGCATATGCATAAACATACCAATTTAGGAAAAGAACAACAGAAGAGATGCGTAGTGATCAAATCCCAATCAACACAAAAAGTAGTAGAGGGTGACAATTCATTGAATGTTCATTTGTGGACAACATCAACAAAAAACTTTAGATATTTAGTACCAAAACATTTCAACCACTAATTCTCAAATTTCTCGTATCACACAAAATTGAGGACTTTGATGGGGTCATAATCAGAGTTCAAACTTGTGACCTCTTATTTAAGAAAGTCACAGTTATACCACTTAATCGCAAGTTCTTTGACTAAAGTCTCCTAATTGGTTAATTGATAAAAACATTCAACAATCAAAACATGCCATATTAACTCCAATAGCTATTTTAATTATTTACATCATTCACAGTAAGAACTTTGTTGTTGCTGGTGAATTATTTCACTTTTGGCTGTTTCTTTTACATCAGGACTGACACCATAGACACATGAAAGTACACATTGCAGAAAGGTCCCACCATCAAAATACTGGCCATAAAAACAAATAAAATATCAGACCCATCCCACAATATCAACTAAGGCAACAGAGAAATCAGATTCCAATGAAATGAATTCATAGTTCAGACAAATTCACATGTTACAACCCAAAAAAAAAACAAACAAACATAACATGGCACCATGAAGGATTCCCCATAGATATTACAACCTAAGAAAAGGGCTTTTCTTGCATTCAGCTAAAAATCCAAGTTAGCTTATAAGTCTAGGACAATAGAACTTTTGGTATTCCTCGTATTACTTCTTGTGGTTCCTCCTTGTGTTCTTTCGCCAGCTCCTTTCCCCTTCTTGGCGTGTTGCTGTGCCGCCTGCCTTCACATTTTACGGATTACCAAATCAAGATCAGTTAATAGCGCGAAAAAGAACAACCTTAATGTGAAGTATTGGGTAGAGGAAATGAGGCCTACCCCCATGCAAAATCTGTCGAATTCGCTGCACTCTGACTTGAATCTGCTGGGATTGCTCATTTCATCGGAGCTTCTCTTGGTTGAGATGTTGAAATAGGTCTCGCTGCAGGATGCGGAGGACGAGGAAGAGCACGTTGAAGGTGTGGTAGTTCGAGAAGAAGAAGAGGAAAACGGGTCTATGTCGCTTTGGAACATCTCCTCGAACAGCTCCTGTAGTTCCTCGAAGCTCTCCCCCTGGTTTTCCTGCCAATTAATGGAACTACATTTGAACATAATTCGGCTACTTAGCCACACGTTTTGAATCACGAAACAGATCTCCATACAAAAAGCTAAAATCCAACACCACACGCCTAACAATTCACCGTGGTTAGATAACAACAATTAACTATAGATGGCAATGCCAAGGACCTTGTGGTCTAGTGGCACCAAGTTGCTCTCTAATATGGGAGGTTGTGGGTTTGATCCTCAATGGAGTCAGTATTGACTCTTTGTGCTTCAGTAGGTACTGCATTGTAGCCCCGAATTCGCTATGGTAGACCACAATTTCATTGGCACTCAAAGCGGGCATGCAAGGCCTACTTCTATTGCAAAGTTTTCAAAGTTCAATTACTTATAAGTTATAAACAGTTTTCACATATGTCAACTATTCATAGAAACCCCACTACAACATCCTTTCCATGATACCCCGGGTTGCTATTTGCTTCCCACGCCCAAAACCACCAAAAAGTATAACCCGCGTTACCATAAATACGTATTAGGAGGGCTTTGGAACTTACGTTGGTCTTATTGTCGCTCATCATAGCAGCCATTTCGTTAAGAAAATCACCCATTCCCTGCACAACCCATACTATGCTATATTAGTAACAATCCATATTATTCCTATCGTCTTATGCAAACCAATCAAACCCAAAAATAACTGTTCAGGAAATGCAAATCAGCAGATCTGCAAACGAAAGGAAACTGCATAAAATTACTATACAGAACAACAAAACTAAATTTGACTAGGATGTCCTGTTGCAGTGCATTATAAAGAACATTTTCATCATGATCAGACTACACTATTGGATGCATAACATGCTATGCTTTCGGAAGGATACTTTTAGTCCCGACAACGAACCATTTCACTAACTTACTAGTTTTGCAGAACATCATAACAGATCTTTTGCAGTTAGGTACCAATATAATCGCTTACTCTCTGTTGGATCTCAGCGTTGCACTATGCTTACTTTCCAGTGGGTCACTACTCATGTGACTGTTAGTTCTTTGTCTATCTGGTTGCCATACTCTACTTAAAACCAATTGGTGATAAGTACGTCTCGAATCGAGCATGGTATCCCCGATACAGGATACTACCTAGATTGGCCCGTTCGAGACTTGGCTGGATTAGTCCCGAAAAAGAAAAGTACTCTTGAACTAACATAAACAAAGAATTGAAACATGGTTAAAAATAAAAGCATAGTAGTGGTTACATTTTCATCGTCATCATCATCACAATCGTAGACTCCTACATCGTACAGGAACCTTTTATTTGTGTCCGCAAGCACTGCAAAATGAGCACATCATATCATCTTGACTAAACTATAGAAAAAAGATTAGCATTATTGGTGGGTATAATTACCAGAATAAGCCTGCTGAATGGCCTGGAATTTCTTCTTGGCCTCCTCTACACTCTTTGGGTTTCCCAGAGCTGAACAACGATCCGGGTGCCATTTCTACTTGCAAAAACACAAATGCATTTAGATTCCCACCAAAGAATTCAATGAAAAACACCAACTTTTCCAGTACAGCAAAATCTGATTTGCAGGATGAATATATTCAGCTATGAAATTCCTAAAATTTGAACTCAGAAATCAGAAAATTGAGACCCAAAAGAAAGAACAGTTCTTTCACGTTTAAAGATTTCAACTTTTCTGTCCCAATGGACAAACACTCAACAGAAAAGATTTCAACTTTCCCTAAAGATTGAATGCATAGAAAGAGGAAAATTGATTATCGTAAAGAAACAGAGAAGAAAATGCTGACCAGCGCAAGCTTCTTGTAAGCAGTTCTCAGCTCAGAAGCAGTGCATTCCTTCTTCAACCCCAGAACCGCGTAAAGATCATCCTTTTTATCTTCTTCAGCCGCCATTCCCAGAGCTTCTCAATATTAACCCAAACAACAAAAAACCGATCAATATAATCAATCCCACATAAAAGGGTTGTTTTTCCCTTGTTTTGTCGACAAATTATGGTTCACAGAGGCCTCAAAGATAACCATAAACCACCGTTCCTGTGCAATAAGACACGGAACCTCAGCATTGCAGTCTGGGTAGGGATCAAACAGTTCTGCACTCTACCATGGCCAAGGCTCAAGAAGTCTCCAGATGGGGACTTTAATTTTTATATATAAGCTGCAATTTGATTCTTTTTTTAAAATAAAAATAAAAATTCTTTATTGTTTCATGTTTTTTGTTTATTTACATGACCACGTTGGATAAGGTGGGTCAACGATGGACGGCTCGGATTGAGAGGTGGAGGGAGATATTTTTGGATGTTGTCTCCAGAAAGTTCTATATTAACTGTTTTTGGGGTGTTTTGATGGAGAAAGGCGAGGTTGAGGCTGAGAATAACTTTGTTAAAAGGGAGATGATAAGTGCCTTTGTGGTTTTTAAACACTATAAAATGTTGCAGACTTTTACTATTGGGGGGGGGGGGGGGGGGGGGGTGGTGGTACTTTTGTTCTTGTTTGAAACACTAGAGTAGTGGTCTAGAGAGGCCAATGGTTTGGGACCAGGTTGTACTAAACTTTAATGTTTGGGCTACAATATGGTTGCACCAACTTATGAGTATGCTTTATGCAATTGTATATTAGAGTATTTTACAATTATGCCCCTGGATTTTAAGGCAGGGTAGTCAATTAACCTTTGTAGTTAGAGTTGTCTAAACGGGTCCAATTCGCTGAATTGGAGAATTTCAAACTTGATCCGTATAACCCGTATGTGGTATGAGTTATATGGTGGGTTACACGGGCCAATCCGTGTAAAAACGGACTGGCTCGACTCGGTCCAGTTCGTATGAATCGGACTGGTCCGTTTTGACAGCTTTATTTGTAGTGATTGGATGTTTATATATGGAGCAACCGACAACTCTCAGTCAAGTTAGTCAATTAGTCAATTATGAACAACTAATTGTAGTTATTTGCCTGCTAAGGTCACAACTCGTGAAATTTATCCAAAGTAAACCTTAGAGTAACGATCCTACCTTTACGTTACCGTATATGTTTTTCTAAACTTGTAATTTTTTTTGAATGTAAAAAAAAGAAATTCTATAATGTGTTTTTATTTGTGTCTTTCATAGATAGCAAGTGGTTTTGTTTTTTTTTTTATTATTAAGCGTTAATGGTGGGTTTTCAAGTGGGAGGTAGGATGTTACATTGCTAGAAAGGCAGCAAGTTGCATACTTTTAACACCACTTGCAATAGAATAGGAGACTATGCAGGTCACTTGCCAATTGCTGTTACATTACAAGAAACTTCACTATAATTCACAGCTGTGTGAGTCAAAGTTTTGATATCCCTTTCGGTATGACAACTAGGTCAACTTTGGCATAATATTATACTACTCATGAAATTTGGTATCTCTATTACTAAAAGGCTAATCCTGATTTAGAGCTAACCGGAATAAGTTATGGACCTAAACATGACGCACTTATGAAATAGTCAATTCACTGAACTTATAGTTGCATTAGTAATCTACTTACCGGCTGTAATGAATAACTCAAGCACATAGAATGAATGGAAAGTTGAAACTAATAGAAAGAAATGAAGATAGCATTGTGAAATATGAAAGTGGCCTTTTAGGATTGATTCAAATATTCAATGAACTTTGTTTTAAACGTTTTTTGTATCTTTGTTATTTGGTTCATTTAATTTGCTCTTTGGTGCATATTATAATGTGTTTGCGGCGATTTTCTTGTCCAAAAGGTCAAAACATGACCCACATTCTTTGATCAAGTGTATCCTTCCATTGCGTGTGTCATGGAATATTTTTGTATGGCAGGAAATAGATGATAAACTTTTCGAATTTACACTCTGATAACGTGTAATGGTTCACACTTATGTGAGACCGAAATCCTAATATGTGAGATAGATCGATTCGAGTCAGGTCAAGATAAAAATGTAATACTTACACCCAACCCATCTCACACAAGTTTTTGCCTTTGAAAATTACAAATTCTTATCTAGTAACTCAGTAAGAAAATCGACTTTCATCCTCTCAGACTCTCAATCGAGCTTGTTGCATAAAATTTTTAATTTGCAAGCTATTACATAGAAACCGGTAAAAAATACTGCTTTAATTTTAGAATCTAGGGTGTTCTTATATGGTCCCATCGATCAGCTTCATATGTTGTGAGGGGTTCTCGATGAATACATAAACTTGTAGTGTATAGTGGATAGAAAACAAGCTGGCAATAGAGGGCCGAACCGTAGCCTCTGGAAGGGTAGAGGAGAACTGACAAGAAGCTATAACATACAATCTATGTTTTTGGTTTGTACTGCCTGAAACCCATGTGCACAGGTCTTTTGAAAAATTCAGTTTTTTTAACCAACAAAAAATCTTCTACAAGCAAAAAACACTTTGGGTTGCATTCATAACCTGTAATCTATGAAGTAATCAACACTAAAAGTGGCTAAGAACAGATTCAAAATGGATACATAATATGATTTTTAGAAAGAGAACAGAAAAATGGGAAATGTATGCAAAGAGATGACTCACATTTTAACATTTTCAATATACCTGTTAGTCTTCTGGTGTCTGCAAAATTTCCACTTGGGATGCATGCACCTCATGCTGTCATTGTTTCAATGATTTCTCGCCTTCAAAATGTGGATCTCGTACACGGTGAAGAAGCTTGATGTCTTTGATGTGTTCTTTGATGATACAATAACTGAGTACTCTACACAGCATTTCATGGCCGCACCTTTTATGCATAAGGTTTCATGAGGTAAAAGATGCAAGAAACTTATCTGGATGCCTTCTTCTTCTTCGTCTTCTTCTTTGGTGTAGTTTTGCCTGCAGGACTCTCTTCCTCTAAAATATGTTCATAGTCCTCGAGGTTAGCAAAAGGGGATGCTGCAGTCCGCTTGAGCGACTTCTGTTTACTTTTCCTTTGGACAAAGCTGTCCTCCTGGTCATCTGATTGGGCAATATCACCAGAATCCTCGGCAATGTCAGGCTCCCCATCCTCGGATATGTCTGATGGGATATTTCCTTCATCCTCAGAGAGATTATCAATCAACTCATCATCACTTTCATCAGCAACTTTGTCCAAATCATCATAATCGTAATCACCATCTTCTTCCAAATCAGGATCAGTAGAGTCCAATATGTTCTCAATTTCTTCATTGTCACTCTCGTCTGCAGCAAAGTCTTCTTCCTCGCCTTCATCATCACTGGCATCCCCGGCTAAAAGCTCATCAGCGACATCATCCTCATTTCTTTTCTTTTTCTTCTTCAGCTTCTTTGAAGATTTCATCTTGTTCATATAGAACCTGTGGAAGACAAGATCTTCTGGTGGAACATCTGTTTCAGCTAACGAGAGAATTTGTTCCCCAAACAATTGATCATTCATGTCAAGCTGCAAAATAAGAACAGAAAATGAAGTGAATAAAGATGCTGATGAAAGATTGAACATTTTAGTAGAGACTAACAATGGATTAAGCTTATCAAAATTCATACACACATGCAAAGTATCCAAAAGAACTAACATACTTTGGATTCTAAACACTATTAAACTAACCTTCTTGGCAGGTTCAATCTGGGAGGCACCATGCCAAGTGCTTTGTTTTGGTTTCTTTTCCATGAATTTGTCCAGGAATGCAGTGAGTGAAAGATCATTTAGGGGATTTCCATTGTAAACAATGGTGGCCCCCGAAAGGAGTGTTCTTGCCATGGTAGCCACTGATGGATGCGCATGTGAAGCCAGAACCACTAGCTCCCACCAGCTAACACGATCGGCATTGCTGTTAATGCATAAAATCAATTTCTAGAAAAAGTTAGCACTGAGCACGATCATAAACCAGAGAACCTAAGTACCATTTCCTGAATTTCCAGCTTCATTATAAACCTCATTTCAGTCTGTGCATTACTTTTAGTTAATACAATCAGTTTTTTTTTTTTTTTTTTTTTTGGAAAGTTAGTACAAGTATGGTCTTGAATCAGAGAATTGAAAAACTGTTTCATAAATTTCTAGGATGGTTTTATAGCTTACTTGGAGTAATGAGAGTATAGGATGAAGAAAAATATTCACCAACACTAATGTATAAGTCACAATCTAATCAGCATGAAAGTAAAACAGGAAAATGAGTGTACCAGAACGAAGGTTCTCTGTGCCGAAGATTGTATCCCCCAGGCATTGACAGACTTCCACTTGATATTTGGGGTTCATGTTTGTAGGAGTTGGAGTTTGGTGTAGATTTCTTGGGTTCATGTGAACCATTTTCCACAATCAAATCATCCAGCTCAACATCCTCCTCAGAATCAGAAGACAAATTACCACCTTCATCAAGGGAGGAACTTTCATTATTTAATTCATCATTGGAGTGAGTCACTCCTTCCACATTAACTGTTTTAGTTGTTGCAGGACTTGCTTGATTTTCGTCATCTTCTTTAACATCTTCAAAATGTTCAAGATCGTCATCAACAGATTCACTTTGAAGCATCATGCTCCTAGGATCATTAACATTTTACGTCATGAGAACCTTTTGATTCCGGAATATAACTTATACAAATGAAATATTAACAATCAAAGCAGTCATTACCAAAGAGGAGGTCTTTCCTTCAGGACTTCAGAGAGAAGGAAAAGGCACCCGCATGCATATTGAGGCGGCTGCTGAATGGCAACCTGTTTCAATAATACAATGCAGTTGCAAGTTGAGACAATACCATTATACCAATAATACTTCAAGTCTTATCAAAGACAAGGTATTTACAACTCAGACTAACCTGTAACAAACGCTTAGCAAAAGCAGCAACACGCTTCAAATTAATATCACTCTTCATGGCCCTTAGAAGTAGACCAATAAACATTTCCTCCTGAAACCAGAGCATAATAACAGAATTAGATTGTTATTGGGTAAAGGAAATAGTTCAAAAAGATATTTTATTCAGAGAAAATTTTAAGCCAAAGAGATACATAATACATAAAATATTCTGTTATATTTCTCAATGCAAACTCAGTGATTCACTATTCCTAAGCAAACCAGATGGACAAAAGGCCTATATGTAAGAATTGAATATTCTACCTACCTTTGAAGAATTCATAGCAGCTGGTAGTAGGAGCTTTGAGTACAAGGCGCGGTAAAATCTATCACTAACAATTTGATTTTTCGATGAAATCTTATCGAGCAACATTAATGCTTGAACTCCAACATTGAAGTTCCTAGAATGAACCTGAAAATGTCAGACAAGCTTTTTAATACAAACTCAAATCAAAATTATCCTATCTGAATCAGCACTCCGGCAACAACTAGATGTGACAAGTTGAGAACAAGCATTTATAATTAATCAAACAAACAATGAAGTGGCGCTGGTTTACCAGTTGAAACAACACAGGTGTCTGGACCTGAACAATGTCATCAGCTTCATCACTTGAAACATAAGGAAATGCTCTATTGACACCCTGCAAAAAGGCGCTAAATTATGCATATATTTTGGGGAAGCTGATATTTTCTCACTGGTGAAAAATCATAAAATTTACATTAGATATCTCATAGAGCTAACAAACACCAGTAAAGGTGAAAGGTTGACTGGGTGGTAAAACCTAGATAACAAAAAGATTATAGGAAGACAAAAACAAACTATTTATACTGACTGTCAAAAGTGCTGATAATAACCGTGAATCCATCTCAACATGGGATTCTGATGTATTGTTTAATTCACCATCATTTGAACTGTGCTCCAAATTATGTCCATCATTTTTTTTCTCCTTTCGTCCTCCACCTGCCTCAGAAATCAATACCTGGAATGGGATTTTCATATGAAAATGAGAAATTTTTGCTGCTCTAGAAAGTTTTGATTAGAAGCTGAATTTCAAAATTTTAAAAAGTATTCAGCCACATATGGAAGTCAAGAGACAAAACACACCGATTCTAAAGAGCTTGTGCAATACCTTAAAGAGGGCAAAATATACTTCTATCAAACGTTTTGCTATCTTAGGTCCATCTCCCCTCTGACTCAATCTAATTTGGCTTAAAAAGTTAATCTGTCATATATACAAGATCTGTTAGAGGCAGGAATTCAACAGAAAAGAAATGAATAAAGAAAACAAAGAAACATTTTGACATACAGCATGATACTTGGCTCGCAGTCCCAGATGAGGGCGGAAAAGAAAATTATCTACCTCATCAATCACCACAGCCTGTAGAGTAAGCAAACAAGAGTTATTAAGCTAAACTTATGAATTTGATCATAAATCTTGAGAGACATCATTACAAGATCATCTAATGTTGAACCATTTAGGGTCACAGAGGACCTTTTTCTTTATTACTCATAACAATCTCTCTCCTCAACTTTTTTTTTTTACCATATTATATATTATTTTCATAGAATAGCCTGGATGGAAGGTCCTTTAATATGACCTTTTAAAACTCATTAATTTCACTAAGATATAGGATGTTTCAGCTGAAATTACCTGCCACCACAAAGAGATACATTTCCATGAATGATAAAGTTCATTATATTACTTTATTTGTATTCTAATACATGAAAAAAAAAAAAAATCCATGAATCATTAATACTCCATCTTACCTTCATATTTGGATGTTCTCCCAGTAGCTTTGATAGGTGATAGTCAGCATTAGAGGCAACTTTGTTTTTAGGATCTCCAAGCTGCAGGCAAGCAAGATCTCAAAATAATGTGGAGTAGATCTTCCTATAGGATATTTGAAGTAAGGGAGGAAGGAATACTTTGTTTACTAGAGCAGAGAGTAGTCGGCGTTCTTGTTCTGATTTGCTCCTCAGCAACATATAAACAGTCTTCATGAAAAAGATGCTGGATAAGATTTCATTTTTCTCTTTGAAGTATTAATAATTATATTATTCTAATACAATATCAGCAAATAAAACTAAAATGCTAACTTATTTCAAATTTCCCAAGAATAGGGGTCAGATGCAACATTTTATGTTTATAATATCTCTTGTAATAAATTCAGGAGAAACTAGGCAATAAATTCATTATTGTATCATAGAGAGAGGAAATAAACCAATACACAATTGCCCATGCATGGAATAAAGGGTAAGCAACAAATGAAAATGAAGGGAGAACCTTTAATGCCTTGTCCTTGAGAATATCTAAAACATCTCTTGATGCTTCCTCAAGAGCTGCAACAAACCGTTCATACCTGCATTTGGAGATTTAAGTTTTCAAAGCAATGGTTAGACAGTAGTGATATCCTAACAATATGAACTGCAAGAGCTAACACTATAATAATGGAGTTACAAAACCATCAATTGCTGACATTACTCAAGGAATTTCCTAAGGAATCCCAGAGAAGTCTAAACATAGATGTAGGAGTATAATATTGTTTTATACAAAAGAAGAGAGATAAAGGGGTGTACCTTTGCTTCAAGCATTCCTCCCAATACCATAATAGCAGAAGAGAGTTACCATCCTTTGTATCAGGGACATGATTTAGAGGCCGCTGAAAGAGTGTCTTCAGTTTGCGATCAGGTAACAGACTGAAAGAATTATTCATTGTCAAATTGTGCATAAAGCCACTATGGGTGCAAGCAATAAGTTTGTACAACTTTTAAGTGCAGTGTGCACCACCAAAAAAAAAAATAAGACTGGAAAATTAGATCATTTTGTATTATGATAAAGAGATCATAAGCTGGCAAAAAAATGAGGAATCATAATAATAGTTGAAAGGCATATCTTTTCCATTCCTAACCTGGAAATGAAGAGTTCTCTTAAGGCTTCATAACCTGTCAGGGCATGTCGCTTGCCAACTTTTGCTGTGACCATTCCTGCACTCCATTAATAATGTTGGATTAACCAAAACGGCATTACAGAAAGATTAACCTAAAAGGCATCACCTTTGGTTCTTCTAAGCTGTCTAATACCAAAATAATTGGTGCTGGGTGACTAAAATAACCTCCCCAAACAAAGCAGAAGCAAATACTTTAGTCAACTTAGAATCAATCCACCCTATCTTTAAGTCTTCAACTAATCACAGTTGTATGATATTGAAATTAAGCTAATAGTAGATAGTAGATATTACCATTATCATTTCCCTAGGCATGGAGGGGAACCCAACATGTGTCAGTATTGAAGTGAGGAGCTTTATGTTTGTATTGCATTTATCTTTTGTTGAATTTACTCCAGCATTTGCTTTTGCATACTATTAAAAGCTTTCTAGCAAGTCAAAATCACTGCCTATGTAAATTATTGCAAAACTTACCCAAAAGAGCATCAAGCGATCTCATATTTGCAGCTGGATTGTCTGCAACCATGACCGAAAAGGCTGAGACCTTATCTGCAGCTGTGCCTGACCTCTGTGTGGCAGCTAGCATCTTTATATCTCCACTTTGCCCCCTAGACGACTCATAGTCAGCTGCAAACTGAGCCATTAACCTCTCTCCCAATTCTTTTTTCTTCTGCACCAATGCCTTCCATTCCTCAACACTACCGAACTCAACCTTCTTGTTACCAACCACCTTCTCCTCCAGTTCCGCAGCATCTGTGAACCACACTCCTAAAGCACTAGCTTTTAAAAGCGGAAGCTTTGGAAGACCCTTGTACTTGTCAAATGTCTTGGATGAATTATTATCGTAGTCTAATGGAGTCCTCCGAGGTTGAGGCTTGTCATTTTGCTTGAATTTCTTGCTTTGACTATTACTCTTATCCGTCTCCTTCTGATTGCTCGAATTCTGTTTAGGCGAAGGCTTTTTTAGGGGTTTGGACGAGGGAGGCTTCCGGAAGTCGGAGTCATCGAAGCCGGAAGTGGAGGAAGGGAGGGAGGAGAGGCCGAGAGAGGAAGCGAACGATGCGACGTCGTTATTGAGACTGTCAATGTCGTCTGGTACCTTAGATTTCTTCGACTTTTTGGGATTCGCCATTACAGAGAGCTGAAGGAGGAGTGAGTGTAGGGTTTATGGAGACTTTAATGGCGGATTTTTTGCAGTAGGGTTTATCACTATTCGCGGTAAACTTGTGCGTATATGGGCCAATTAATTTTTTATAAGGCCCATTTACTGATGGCCCGGAATACAATAAATGGGCCGAGCTTAGCCCAAATAATTCTATGCATTTAAGTGGCCTAGGGTTTCGTCTCTTCCTCCTCTCCGTGCTTTTCACTTCTTTGTTCTCGCTAAACCTCTGAGAAGGCAGCTAAGCAAGCGAAAGAGCAAGAGAAAGCAACCATGGCGACGGCGAGAGCATTGACGACTAAGGAGGCCGACATCCAGATGATGTTAGCAGCTGAGGTCCAACTCGGCACGAAGAACTGTGACTTTCAGATGGAGCGTTATGTATTCAAGCGCCGAAATGACGGTCAGCTGTTTCTCTAACTGTATCTATACATGTCTATCTTGAATTCCTGGTTTACGTATATGCCAAAGTATTTGTGTGCTGTACATAGATTTTCTGGCTAGATCTGTCATTATATTACGCATATATGTGTGCTTTTATCATGTTAATGTTTCCTGAACTTGTTCGGATGGAGATTTGCTGTTCTTATTGGTTTTGTGAAGTGACTAGATGAAAATTACAATTCACTGGTTTGAATCTGGTCATTCTAGAGGAAATACAGTGTTAAGCCTAGAAGTTAGTGTGGCATGTTGTTTGATCCATCATTGTCTTCAGTTGTTGACCGAAATTTGTCTATTTCTGGGAAAAAAACACTCTTTTTTTTTTGCTTATGAAGTTTGAGAATGTGTATTGTGCAGTGTGTATCCGGCATGAAATCATTCAAAATATCACTATGATATTGTATCATGTGTGGAGTTGTTCTATTACAAAAAAAAAAAATTGTGTATAGATTTTCCAGTATTTGATTTTGTAATGCTTGTTTTGTATCAGGTATCTATATCATTAACCTTGGGAAGACCTGGGAAAAGCTTCAACTGGCAGCTAGGGTGATTGTTGCCATTGAGAATCCCAAGGACATCATTGTCCAATCTGCCAGGCCTTATGGTCAGAGAGCTGTTTTGAAGTTTGCTCAGTACACTGGAGCTCAAGCTATTGCAGGACGCCATACTCCTGGTACATTTACCAATCAGATGCAAACATCCTACAGTGAGCCCCGTCTTCTCATCCTCACAGATCCCAGGACTGATCATCAGGTATGACCAGTCAGTTCAATATATTGGGTAACTTTCTAATTTATTTATTCAGTTTTATTTACTATTTTATGTGTAATACCTGTTTGCAGCCTATCAAGGAAGCTGCACTTGGGAATATCCCCACCATTGCTTTCTGTGACACTGATTCTCCCATGCACTATGTTGATATTGGCATTCCTGCTAATAACAAGGGAAAACACAGCATTGGTGTTCTATTCTGGCTCTTAGGGAGAATGGTTCTGCAGATGCGTGGTGCTATTGCGCCCGGACACAAGTGGGATATCATGGTAATAGCTTTAGTGATATTGATAGGTCTCCCTTTTTTCTATGTTGTTTTATGCATTATTCAATTTTCATTTCTTCATCTTTTACCTATCTTCTTCATCTTTTACCTATCTTCTTCATCTTTATTGCCAGGTGGATCTCTTCTTCTATAGAGAGCCTGAAGAGGCCAAGGACCAACAGGAAGAAGAAGCTCCTGCCATTCAAGATTACGCAGACTATGGTGCTGCTGCCATTGGTGTTGGTGAATGGACATCAAGCCAAATTCCTGATGTCCAATGGACCGCTGATCCAGTCCCTGCAGCAGCTCCAGTTGCCGGTGGTTGGGCTGGAGAGGAGGGTAAGTGTATTCATTTATGGTTGAACTTTTTCTATTGCAACCCGGTTGTTTAGAAGCAAGTGCTGATTGGGTTATTGAATCTGTTCTGTCAACTCATTTTTGCTCTTTTAATCTTTCCAGTCGCCGCACCAGTTGGAGGATGGGATGCGGCAGCTCCACCACCTGTGGCAGTTCCTGGTGCAGCAGTAGATGTGGCTCCCAGTGGATGGGATGAGAACTGAAAATAGATGGGAATGAGTTTCTTCCATAGATGAAATGTTTGCTCTTTATATATGTTGTATTACAACCTTATCCGTCTCACTAGTTCTAGGGAATTTTGATTAGTTTTGGATGTTCTCAACGTGCTTGCAATGAAACTATTTACCTGGTTTGAATATGTCAACGTTTTTTTGTGGTGTTAGTTCGATACAAGATTATCTAATTATTCTCATTACAAATTTACTCGTGTATTCAAAAAAAAATATTATTATTAGACTAATCACTAATAGAGTATTAAATTTGATATTTTTTCTTAAATATTAAAAATTGTACTAAATTATTAATTTAATTAAAGAGTTAATTGAAAATATTCTTCAATAAGTGGAAGGATAAAAAGATATTTAGAGAAGGGATCGATGTTTGATCTTTGACGGCATTAGCATGAGCCTTTGTTTCTTTGACAGCATTAGGATGAGCCTTTGTTTAGTTATTTGGTCTGTAATTTACCTTCTTTTAAATGTTTTGACTGAAGTGTTAATGAAATGTATTTCTTACCTTGTTCTATTGTCATTCCTTATTATAAATATATTTATTACCATATTCCTATTAGTATGACTGAAATATATTTCTTATATTTCTTACCTTGTTCTATTGACATTCCTTATTATAAATACAATTTACCGAGTCTCTCCCATTATCTAATTATTCTCATTACAAATTTACTCGTGTATTCAAAAATATATTATTATTAGAGTAATAATATTAAATTTGTTATTTTTACTTAAATAATAGAAATTATATTAAAAGTAATAATATTAAATTTGATATTTTTACTTAAATAATAGAAATTATATTAAATTATTAGTTTAATTATAGAGTTAATTGAAAATATTATTCAATAAGTGGAAGGATGAAAAAGATATTTAGTGAAGGGATCAATGTTCGATCTTTGGCGACTTCAGGATAACCCTTATCTGTTTAGCTATTGAGTCACTGTTAGACTGGAGTGTTGGTGAAATATATTTCTTACCTTGTTCTATTGACATTCCATATTATAAATACATTGAACAGAGTCTTTTTTATTGCCATTCTTTATTATAAATCACTGTTGTAAAAATTGACCAGGCAGCGAAATCGGTCAAAATCAACCGAAATCGACATAGTCGGCCGATTTTGTCCGATGCTGTCTGGTCCAGCCGTCCGTAACGGAAATCGGCCTAATCGGCCGATGCTGTCTAGTCCAACCGTCTGTAAACTAGTTTAATACTTTGAATCTTCTTGACTGATTACGTCCGATGTTATCTAGTCCAATCGTCCGTTGACTCATTTGATACTCTAAATCTTTGAATGGATGAAGTATTTAAGTATTTAATATTCGAGTATTTTTATTTTTTAATATTATTTTAATGTTATGAATTATGAATTATTTCATTTATTTGGAGATGTATTATTTGATTAAAGGTTGAAAACAACCTCATTACAATTGTCAAAACTACAAGTCTGCTACTACTTGCAACCATATTATAAATACATTGAACAGAGTCACAATAACAGAGAATATACTTTTCACTCTATCACGTTGTCATTCCTAATTGCAAGTACTTAAACAACGCACTCAGGGAAACATTATGGGCAACAATGAATAAAACTAGCTATTGCATTTGATACTGAATTCTGGAAATTTTTAGAAGTTCCCTGTATCTAACTTCCTTAAAGTTTTAGGACGTTAAAAACTGCAAAACCAAGCTGGGATTTATGACCAAAGATGTTGGATATATACAAAATTGAGTAACGTTTGACAATTGTTAGCAAGCATGGGAACAAGGAGTCCCAGAAAGAATACGCAGGATATTTACTTTTGGGTTCCTATCTAAGGGGACTAGACTATGAATAAATAAAGATGCAGATCCACCATGGCTTTCTTTTGGCATATCTGTCAGTAACCAAAAAATTCAATATTTTCTCAAATCTCTAACCTTGGTAGCCGGTAAATTTATTGTATCAGTAACCCGCATCCTTCGGATGGGTTGATTGAATCGGGGTACGGTCTTAAACGGATTTAGCGCGTCAGGAAGCCCCAACACATCATCAGGGGAAGAGCATGTCTCCAAATGTAACCCAGTGCACAAATTTATCAGAAAATTCACCCGGGCAATGGATTTCTTGAACCATTTCGAAATTCAGATCTCCAGTAGTCTGTTCAATATGTTTAGAGAGTCAAGCGGGAGTAACGGGAGTAGCATAATTGCGACATAAAGGATTAATTCTCACCTTAATACTAAATCCAGAGTCGTAGGCATGAAGGCTCGTTTCTGCTTTAGACGCGCATCCAAGGCCTTCTGACGAAAGACCACTGGATGGGGAACCTACGACTGACGATCTGCAAGAATATAACATTGGTTATGCTTTAATTACAAGTAGATCGGGCGACACTAAAGCAACACCCCCGAGTAATATACCTCTCATATGTCTCTTCTTCACATGAATTTCCAGACGAAGAAAGCCACTCGACATCTACAAAATTCGAGAAGTTGGAATCCCCACGTTCAAGAGTCTGCTCACCTTGGGTTTCGGAGAAGAGCTCCCTACCAGACATAGTGGGGGTATACCTACAAATATACAAAGCAAAATCCTAATACTTTAATATACTCTGCACACTACAATCTAACATTCTCTAAGGTAATCTAACATTCCGTGAACCAAACGCCCCGAAATTCATTTATAATCCAAGGATAGTGTTCATCTGCATGGCAATTTAAGTGGCATCAATAAATAGTAAAGTGACCTGGAATATGACATTTCGCTCTCACATGTTGAGACATCAGGTGTGGACTCAACAGGTAATGGAGGCTGATAAGCTGCTCGCTGTTTGTTACTTGTATCTTCAACAGGTAAGTTACCTGGACAGATAATATTTCCATCTGAGAATGACCTTTTGATTCTCGACCTAAACACATAACAAAGCATATATATTAGAATCCACAGAAATATTATTTAAGAAAAGAAACGCCAATGAAACTATAAAACAAATTAGTTATACCTTAAACTGTCAAGAGCTAAACTGTGCCTTCCACCACGATAATGCTGATCAGAATCCAATTCCCATAGTGCTGGTTTACCATCGTGCGGCTGGAAATGCCCCAGGAACCTAACACAGATTAATAAATACAAATAAGAAATTATGATGATTTAATACATGGGAAACACAGAAAACTTGAAAACTAGTATATTTGACATACACATTAATCGCACTTTGTTTCTCAGCATCCATATAAGCATTACTATAGTACCGCTGAAGTGTCCTAAAAAACTCTTGGGATTGTGTCGCTGCTCTCCATTGACCTCTTCTTTCAGAAAATATCTGTTTACGTTCAAAATAAACATTATTGTAAATTACAAGTTTGGCATTATGAGACATCAATGTTGAAAAAATCGCTAGGCGCCCTCTCTAGGCACCTGGGGACCGCTTAGGGCGCCTAAGCAGCGCCTAGCCGCGATTTTTGCAACACTGTGAGACATTTAAAGAAGCCAAACACTTTGGAAACCAAAAGTCGACACTGGGTAAAATTGATAATCGACCTTGTTGTGTGCAGCTGATCCGCCATATTGTAGTGCAAGAGTGTCGCCCATTTCTTCATATATCTTCATTAAAGTATCCGCCAGTGGAGAACCCAAAGGAACGTTCTCGACGTCTATATACCCTAGAGCATGCAACTGATGGCCTATAGCAACAAGCCCATACGCATATTGAGCAACATTAGTACGGTCCAAACAATCAATGCAGTTTGTTCTTAGGACGCCTCTCTGGTAGGTTGGACACTTGATAGATTGAACTCCATGCAAATCATCTGTACTGCAGTTTGACCCATTTTCCAAGCAGTCAGTGTCCCTCACAGCATTGTGATCATCTTTCTCAGCACCATCTCCATTGCCTTTGTTGCTGCATTGCATTCTTGATAATCAAACGAAATCCATGGATAAATACAAGGAAGTATGCTTTAAGGAAATTATACTAATCCATACTGCGACAATTCATTAAGCACAAGAGTTTCAATTTATAATTCTATATCACTTCAAAATACAAGCAGAACAAGGACTGTATACGTGAATATTCTATTGAAACTAAAATTCCACAAAAGCAGAAAATCTAACTAAAAGAGTTTATTAGGTAATTACCTAACACATGGAAAATTAAGCAATTCTGCTGTCTTTGAAGCTGGAGTTACTTGACAGTAAAAGAAACCAGTTAATTCCAATGCATTAGCAGACACCTTGTTTAAAGCCATCAACACACTTGTAGCTTTACTGAAGAAAAAAAAAAAAAGACAATTTCAAGAATGGATCTTTAAACTTAAAAAAAAAGAAAAAAAAAAAAAAAAACCATTAAATACAGAGAAGGAATGAATCTAACTTTTTTGTAAATTTGTTTAGATCCCAGTGAAGGAACTTCAAATGGTTTTCGTCGGAGAACTTTTTATTGATATTATCAATAGCATTAGCAAATTCTGCACGCAGAATAGATTCTCTAGGCTTCTTCTCAAGGGTCTGTTACATGAGCAATGTGAGGAATACAACATAAATCAATGTCAGAACAGATTAAGAAGATACAAGACAACTCGTCCTTATTTACCTTAATCAGATTCAATATAATAATTGGACTTCCATATCTTTTGATGAGGTTCTCAAAGTGAAGTTTGGTTGCTTCATACCGCGGGTCCTTCCTTGACACTGTAAATGGAGAGGGTTATTGGACTATACTGTGAATAAACAAGATAATGATAACATTTCAAGTATATTTCAAGCCTACATATAATATCAGGCTTAATATTCAGTCTTGAAGTTTCTTGTGACCAAAAAAGAGGTATCGAACCACGGTTCTGCACAATAGAACTAATTTGTACAGGATACCCTTCAGGAACATTTTCAACCACAATTTGTTCAGTCTCAACATCATTAGCTACACGGCCCTTCTCATTTACACCTCTCTTCAAATATCTAGGACAAACAAAAATTGTGAAAGAAGCATTAGAACACAATTTTAGTAACTAAAACCAAGGAAGATTATCATGCAATAATAAATAAAACCAAGGAAGATTATCATGCAATAATAAATGTCTAATGCACCCAAAAGTGTTATATAAACATTGAAAATAAACCAATGACTATAAGTAATGTACCTGGTTCCAGCATAGTGACGAGATCGTCTGGCAATAAGGATCAACTTAAAATCTTTTTCACAAACTGAAAGTGTAACCTGTAAGTATTATTTTTATTAGTCAGGATGAAAAGAAACATAAGACAAAATAATCATACCGGACAAATATACTCCAACTGGATCAAAATACAAAGAAAGAAGGTTAATGGCATGATGAACAACAAAATATGAGACACCAATATGGAACACAATGAAACTAGTGACATCAAAGAAGAGGGAGAAATAAAATAATTGACCTAAAATCTTAAATAATGAATACCTCTTTAAAGAAGCCATAAACTAGTGCTATAGTCCACATAGTATTTTTGAGTTGATTGCGGATCCCACGAGTCAAGAACTCATTCCATACGAACATTGTTTCATAGAGGACAAGTCCTGAATCATGATTGCTTAGGTTTTTCTGAAGACTAAGCATAATAAGATAGGAATAGCTGAAAAAGAAGTCCTTGGTGAGATCCACAGTGCGTAGTAGTTTCTTGTACCTATCACATTAAAGAAAGAATGGAGGAAAAGCAAATGCAAGTAAATACAGTGCAATATGCTGCTAATATGATAATTAAAAGAGGAAAACACTAAAAACAGAAGCTAATATAAATAGGATGAGAAAAGCAAACAAATTCCCCCTGCAACCCTGGTGATACCTTGTCTCATTCAACATGAAAAATTAACATCAGGACACCAGTGTGGTTTGCCCCTGTACATTTGCCAGAAATAAACTTCCAATGGGTTCTATAAAATAATTTAACTACAGAAGATTACACAACTAAAGGCTGTGATGTACTCTGAATATGAGCGTCACATCAATGCATCTCTGTTAGAGCTATAACTATTGTTACACTGAAGGACGTATCCACAAGTATCGAAATTACCTCAACACGTATGATGTCTTTAAAGATGTATTGTCCAATAAGAACGTGAAAATAAAAGAAAGGAAAAATAGACCACTCAATGAAACACATTACTCATTGAGATACAAAAAATAAGCACTGTTAACATAACTATACTGTCTCCTCACATGTACCATGGACATTTTACTTTTACATGTAGAATTGGCAAAAGACCTGTGTTCATTCTTAGAAAAAGCCATATTGGATAGCACAGTAGAACTGGGAATTGGGATCATCTCGCTCTTTGTAATCGAATAGACTGCATGACCACATATAGTGCCAATCTTCCTTCTTTGAGTGATAAGCAACATGTAATAAGGTCCCAAAAATTTTACAAAACCTAAAAGAAAAAAAATGATTAGTTCTAAATCATATAGTTCCTTTTCTGTGCAAAGACAAAGCATTGTTATGAGACAGAGAGGTGAAGATTAACATACCAACAATTCCATAGCAATTCGTTACAAATTTAAGCCCACCAGTGGACTTGTTTCCTTCGTGTATTCTTTTCAGGAGTTCATAGCTTTCAGATTCCGAATATGTTGTAGGGTCTTCATGAATATTTAGCTCCAATGGCTCTGTTCGGTCAATCTTTAGGACTCTCCAATATGTTCTATTCTTGTCCCGTCCAATCATATAAAAGTTCTATAGAACATAAGAATTCATAGTTATTATCTAGGTACTGAAATTAAAATCATTACTCCATGCAAACTATTGAAACCAGAGATTCATTACAATGTAAAAATGGCAAAAAAATCAGAGACACCAGCATTCACGAGGATGAAGATAATGTTATTCAAATAGCTCTTTTCTTGTCAAACTGTTCATGGAATCCCCTAATCAGTATGGAGACCAATTTTAAAAGAAAGTTCCTGCTTTGACTTTTGATGCTTATTAATATACTGCTGTTTTCTTCTTTTCAAAAAAAAAAAAAAAAAAAAAAAAAAAACTAAAATCCAAGCTGCCTTCAAATAAACTTAAATTTATTTGATGACCAAGCACCATAGTTACAAGTTAAGCCATAAGTTAAAGTTTTGACAACTTTGAAATCCTTAACCCTTATTTGATCTGAATCACACATTCCACATAGCACAAAAGCTAACTCCTTTCCGTCAAGAGGATTTGAAAGACGAAACCGCAATAACAAATTAACAATTGTTATCATAATGCTAGGATTCTCCTAGAACAGCTTGGAAAATACGGAAAACAAAACAGTTAAAACTTCTTAACGAAAATCAAATCAAAATCGTATTCAGAGAAACAAATCACAAACACTCACATAATTGCGCATATAGTCTAAACCAAAACAAACGAAATATACACGGAATACGCACCGAGCGAGTCTCGTAGAGCCTGAATTTCTGCAAATAGGGAGCTCCATAGTTGTTGTCTGCTCCTACCATGCTTATCCGGTCCAAGTTAACAACTCAGTCGCATATCAAAAACTTCCAAAACAGATCGTGTAACTCACAAAACCTCTAATACACCATCCAAAAGGACCAAAACTTCAACAGCTCAACGCCTTCAACCTAAAAACGCAAAACGAATACAATCACATACCGCACAAAATATACATATTATCAACACCAAGCGATATATATATAATTATATATAGAGACCGAGAGAGACCTTGACAGAGAGAGAACGGAAGAGAGAGAGAGAGAGAGAGAGGGAGAGAAATAGTGGTGGAGAGATCAAAACAGTTTGAGCACGGATTGAAGACGAAGAAGAAGAAGAAAGACGGATCGAAGGAGAGGTGAGAGACGCGAGCTTCTGTGAGGACATCCACACAAAATGCGGAATTATGGATTTTTTTGTTCTTTTAATTTCCGGTTTTTTCGCGAAATATAACTCCCCCCAACAAAAAAAAGAGGAAATATAATTATGTTTTTACTCTCAAATTTTCTTCCGTTTCGTACAGCTAAGATACAGAGGGCAGAAATTGAATAATATTTTGATTACAATTTACAAATCGAATCGTGGTGTATAAGAATTGGCCTATCGGGAAGAATTGGCCTATCGGGAGGGGAGACATGGAGAATTCATTCCTATTTTAGTAACCATTGCATAATTTACATTTTTTATCCTTATTTTCTTTTAATCAAAAGACGAGAAATACGTAGTAAATATTTCTTTACTCTAAAATACTCAATATATTTGAGATTTCTAATCTAAATAAAAACATAATAAGCGTGGATGAAAGCTATATCCTTTACTTATATCCATTTTTTTCCGTTAAATTTTAAGATACATTATGTTATAAATGTTGTACTGTACAACATTTTGGACAAACATACCCCTACTATTATAACTTTCGTTATTTTTTCCACTATTGCTACCATGCTCATTCATCCACCATATATTTTTTATTTTAAATAATAATAATATACACATTATATATTGGGATTATATGTTAGTTATTTTTTAAAATATAAAAATTAAATTTATAGAAATGTTTTATATTATTATTATTATTATTATTTACAATAATTTAAATATTAAAAATCTAAATAAATTTAAAATTTTAACATAAAATATTAATATTGGGCAACTATTTTTTGCGCATCGAAATACTAGTTTTCGGATAAGCGCGGAGAATAAAAATAAAAATAAATAATAATAATAAATGCCCAAACCATGCATAATTCATTGTAATATATGTTGAATATATGGTGGTAGAGCATAAACAAAAAGAATCGAGTCAAATATCTTATTATTTAATTCGAATTCAACTATATGAAAAACTAGTTATATTCGCATTTGTCAAATATTTGAATATCAAATTTTATTCGTATTCGATTTGACTATATATATATATATATATATATATATATATATATATTCATACTATGATTCGTATTCGTATCCGAACAAAAAAAAATCGAATCGAAATATGTATCCGAATACGGATTCGGATTCAATTTATTCAAATTCAACCCACAATATACGAATTCGAAGCAAGAACTGAATTTAAAATATTTGATTTATTTACACCCCAAATTAAACATCATCGAAACAATTTAAAATAAGCAAACAAATGAGCTATGAGTGTATTGCCAACTTAATAACTAGTCTACGCAATAATTAACTTCTTTAATTTATGTATATTTTTCGTGTGACAATTTTAACTCTTTCTAATAAACTCACAAATCACAATTGCAAAATAAAAAGACGAATCTACCATAATTATTTCCTTTATGTATTTCAAAATTCACTACTTAAATGGAAAAATTAAAAATTATTATTCATCTCAAATTTCGATCTCATTAGAAAAATATTACGGAGTATTTTTATGGTATTTTAAAAATTGTGACGTATGATATTTGACATTAATTAATTAACATTGAATGGTATTTTAAAATTTGTGACTCATACATATTATATTTTTAGTGTGATTTATGTTTTATGCATAATTAACGAGCATTGTACATAATACGATTTATTATTACACACCATATATAATATATAATACTCCGTATATAATAAATAAATATATAATAATAAATGCAAGTTTTTTTGTCCCCAAAAATATATATTATCTTAGTAAAATAGGTTGAGATTATTATCGTTGCGGAAAATGAGGAGTACTTTCCTTAGTTATGCGTATGATTGATTGAGATTGATTCCAATTGAAAGACCTGAAGGAATATGACTCGGTCAAAACTGGGAATTGCGGAGTAATTAGCAAAACACAGAATAATAAACAATCATTAATTTATGAGTTAATCATCATTTTATTCCTCAATTGTTTTTCAATTATCAAGGTAATTTATAGTTTTTTATTTTATTCATCAATTGTTTCTCAACTATCAATGTAGTCTATAGCTTTTAACTCAAAATTGCGTAGTAATTAATGAAATACATAATAATAAACCATCATTAATTTATGAGTTAATCATCATTTTGTTTCTCAATTTTTTCTCAATTATCTATGTAGTTTCTAATTTTTAACTCTAACCATTTTTTTTTTTTTTAAAATAACTCTAACCAATTTAATTCTTGAATTGTTTAAAATTTTCTGAAATTAAATCTTGTAGGGACGAACCATATCATAACCCCCATGGTACAATATGGAACAATATTTGGAAGCTTCAAGTCACCAAAATAGAGAATTTTCCTTTGGAGAGCTCTCTCACACTTTCTGCCTACAACTAATAATTTGATTAGGAAGAGAGTGGAGGTCCCTAATCTATGCTCAGCTTGTGGTATTCTATAAGAGGATGTTATGCACTTGCACATATGCTAGGCGTAAGTGGAATGTTTCACAACTTCAAATCCATAACCTTGATGGTCATGATTTTATGCCGTGGGTGGAAGGTTGGTTGGGCAGCACAACAATGTTTTTTGGTGATTTAAAAGAGCAAATTTGTGGAATACTCTATGAAATCTGGAGGGCTCGAAATATGGCCGTTTGGGAGCAGTCCATGTCGTCTCCGGTTGTCTTATGGCGCAACTTCCAGAATACTTGGACTGCATAGTTAGCAAACAACATGGAATGCCAGTCTACCTCCTCTGCGCACGTCACTATCGATGTCTATCGATGCGAACAAGGATTCATCTGAGTATGATACGGGCTTAAAGGTGTCTTCTACAGTTAAGACATGCTTAAGACACCTCGTGGTCTGACAAAAAAAAGTGCAAGTAATAATTTCATATAGTGCACCTAAGTTCAAATAAATGTATTAAACGTGCAACATATAATGTACACTGAGTATCAATATTAAGTGCGCACAACGTTATCATTATTTGCACCAAACGTTATCATTAAGTGCAACAATGTGAAAGTTGTTATCATTAGGTGCATCAATATTAACAAGGTAAATTACTTGTACTATTTAGTGAAAATTGTTGCACTTGTAAGTGATTTTACTTGCCCCAATTACTTGCACTTTTAATACATTTTACTTGCAACAAAGTTCGAGTTATTTACAAAAATGTCACCGCGTCACTTTTAAAAATTACATATAATTCGTTAAATCTAGACACGTGAACGACTACGATTGGTTCTTAGTTCTTTCCTAGGCACCTGTTCTCACCTGAATGTGCCCATATATATATATATATATATATATATATATATATATATATATATATATATATATATATATATATTACACACACTATTAATTAAATATATTTTAATTTGTAATAATATTATTAAAAAAAAAAATCAAACATCTATTACTTAAATTGTTAGTGTTTTATTATTATTATTTTTCATTTTGAGGTATAACAAAATATTAATATGTAACTAACAAAAAAAAAAAACGTATGTTCAAGCTAAAATGAAATAATTTCGTTCGAATCTATCATGTATGAATTATTAGATGATTGGGCTATTGAGATTCAAAGCATATTGTTCACAATTTTTAAATATTTAAAATAAAATGTTGGTATTACTTGAACTAAATTGATACCACATTCAATTATGCATTTTTAGAGTTTTACACTAAACTTAGCTTGCATTATATAATCCAAACAAATAAAGTATATACAAATATTATTTTAAAAGTATATAGAGAAAACTCTAACCGTATAAGTTTGCGTGGTATATATGAGAAGCATAATTCAATTTAATATTTCATTTTTAAGTACTATAAACTATGATGTTTTAATATGCATGATGATAGAAAAGTAAAGACCATTTGTACATACAATTAAATGCCGCTACTTTTTTGTCTTTTTAAACTAAAACATGTTGCCATATTGAAGTAAGCTTCTTTAATTTGGTAAGCTACAACCAATAAATTATTACTATTTTGATCAAATTTTCAAAGTTCATATCATTTGTAGGACTTGGACGAGTCAACTCAGACACCCTGAGCTGTAGGCAATTATGATGAGGCGAAGGAACTTGGTAACCATAATATTTAGTTTGACTCCATAGGAAAGATATAAGTCTATTGATTTTATTGGGTTGAACTGATAATTTATGGACAATTTAAGTTGGTTTATCTTCTTGCGGTGTTTTACCGGCTTAGATCACATAGTGTGATTCATTCAGAGCACATTCGAGTAGTATCTATAATGAGGTGTAGAAAGGGTGATCAAGTAGGTAAAACATAACTTTTGTACTAAAATATCACAAATTTAATTATTGCTAATACTCTCTTAGTAGAGTCTGATTCACTGATTGAATAAATTAACCCAGTTGGCATGTGGCCCGAGGCCTAGACTGAGGTTGAACAATAGGCTCGGTCTTGGCATGGGTGTTTAGCTATTAGGTTATTAATGTTGCACCACATATCAAATACTGAATATTATCATAACTTATCCTAATGTTATAATAATAATAACGGATAAAACGTTACAATTGTTGGTAGGAGTTAATAAATTTTTACAAATATAAAATAATTATGGAGATGTTAATTGCTATAAATAGAAAATAACGATTATCATTTTTCAGTGGGCATTTGGGGAAAGTATATGCAAAACCATTTCCTTAAATACCACCGGTACAAACACTTAAAAAATGCGAATATGCCCTTCAATTCATTACGGCTGCCACTGTTATTCATTCCAATCATTG